CCTCAAAACAGTCAGTACTGACCAGCAGCACGTTCCTCCTGATGGTCACAGCAGCTGCAGCTGCCCTCAGATGCTCAGTTTACCCCAAACCATTGTCTAATTCAGTGGGTTTGCTGCCTTGAGTCCACGTCCCTGACTTTGCTTATGTCCAAGACAACATTTCTATTCTGTGCTGAATGCTGACCAGACATGAGTTTGTCTTGAACATGATCATTTATATCCAACATTTCTTCCACAGCTGGGCTGTCTTTGTGACTCCTCTGCCATGTGTTGCTACTGAGTTTGCTGGGGCTTGGTTTACAGACATTGTCCAGGCAGAACAAGGGAAATAATTACTAAGCCTCATACCTTGCTGCATGGCAACTTTGAGGCACTTGGTGATTTGGTGACTTTATTTTTTTGCACAGTTGCTCTCAAAGTTATTTGTCTGCAAATTCTAATGCATTCTTTGGAGAGGGTTCATTAATTCCTGATTTTCTGCCATGTGAAGTTTCACACTATGGCTAAGCTTGCCTTGACAAAACAAAAAGGAAAATCTAGTGAAATTAGGGGATGCTGTGGTGCAAGTTAGAGTACTGATGTCTTGGATTACTGCTATCATACAAGCAAAGCCAGTAGTTATTTAAGTGCAAGGAGTGGATGTCAAGGTAAGGCACAGTGTATAAATGAAGAGGAAATTAGAGCTAAGAAAAGGACCTCCCTGAGCATGGACAACTATCAGAGAGCATTTGTTGTGCTGCTGGGGAGGGTGCTGGGTGGTCAGCTCTGGTGCTAGCAAAGTGTGTGTATGATAACCTTTCCTTGGTAGTGCTGCACACTCACCTTCTAAGCAGCACATCTGAAAGCAAAACCCTTTGTCATGTGGTAAAAGCAAGGCAGCTTTTTGGAAGACAGCACCATTCCAAAGCTGCACATACTTTGTGTCCTTATTGCTGCTGTATTCCTTTTCTGTCTAGCATGTCCTGCCAGCAGAAATTACCAGTTCTGGCTTATTCAACAAGAGAGGGTGCATGCTATAAAGAAAACAGAGAAGATATTTTTTCCCTGACACAAGTGAAAAGGATCTTCTTCTAGCACTGTAAATAGTGTGTTTGGATCTTTGGTACTTCAAATCTTCATCACTGCAAGCACTAGCTGCAGACTCATGTACTGGTCATTTTTTCCTCTGATAAGAGGATTAGGATCAGTGCATCAGTGCAAGGATATGCACTGGGCTGGTGTTACAGCATCCAAGGTAAAGGACTAACCACAAGGTAGGCAGATCTTTGGTAAGAGGTGTGAGAGGTAGACAAATATTTTTTATTATTAATATTCTGTAGACAAATATTTTTTTGGCATTTGGAATGCTGACTCAGAACCTGACAGTAGAAAATAACCTCTTCCCTTGGACCAGCAGTGACAAATATTTTTCAGAAGAGCTGAAATTTCTTCTGCTTCTGTTGGTACACTATGACATCTAAAGAAAATGCTTATAGGGGTTTCAGGCTCCTTAGTTAATAATGGGGAGAGTGAATACGTAGTTTCACTGTTGTTAGAAATGAATCTGAAACAATCCAGAAGGCCACTCTACAAAATTAATGTCAAAATAGCAGTTGATGCAAGCTGGGCTTAATAATGATTTATGCCTCCTGGAACACACAGTGGTGAATTTTCAAGTGTAGTTAAATGATTCAGCAACAAACATTGGTGGACAATTTTTTTGTACTTCATTTGTGGTCTTTTGAGGGTACTGAGCCACGTACTGATGCAGACAGGCTTCGGATTTATAGGTATCTTAAAAATAGCTGACATTGTGAGAATTCTTGAGTTTAACAAGAAAACCAGTAGAGAAATATGAGGAAAAAAAAATATTCTTTCTGGAAGTATATGTTTGTGGACAACAAAAAGTTAAACCATGGTGTCAGTTTTTGAAAGGATGTACAAGTTAAAACCTTATGTGGTGACATTAGTGGGAGAGGCCCCAGGTAAGGGCTTCAAGAGGTGTTTCAAAACATGGGCAAAGAGCAGCAGAAAACTTTCTTCTGGATGCAGTGGTATCCCTGAAAAATCTTAAAAGCTAGTGGCTACATGGCAAGTTCTGTCCTAAATACCATAAAGAAACCTCCCTCCCCCCTTCTTCATACAGCTTTGAAGTGTGAGGGTGATACATTACTTTATTCCTAATATAGTGACATTTTTTCTTTATTCTGTAGATTCAGCCAGTTATTGATGAAGTCTTCTCATTTTCTGAAGTTCCAGAGGCCTTTCTGAAGTTGGAAGGAGGACATGCACGTGGAAAAACAGTGATCAATGTAATTAGTAGACAATAAAGTATCTCTAATCATTATTCTGCCTGCAGTCAGTCCTTGAACATGAACTGGGATGCAGTGAGTGTTTCTTTTTTAAAGGCTCATATAGGATGCATAACTTATGAATCTTGTTTTAGAAAAGCCTCTGATTCCTTCATATGCTGCCTGTTACTAAGCAGACAAGACATACTAATGCCTCTTCAGCATTTCTACCTGAAAACCATATTAAAAATGTAGTTGTGAATTTTGCAGAACACCCCTCACTCTTGGGATAAGAGGAACAGTCTGCAGCATTTTCCTTTTGTAAATCTTGAAGCTTTTATTTTTCAGGTGTAAGTCCTGAAATGGTGAGGCACACTTATCTACTTGTCTATATGAGACCTGTGCTGTTTTTCCTTGGTTTTCCTACTTCTGTTTACCTTCACTAATGCAGATTATTACTCAAGCTATTTCATTCTTAGAACTAAATGGTCACATCACTGTCTCAAGACTGATACTTTGATCTTGTTATGGCAACTCTCATGACATAGCTAATCTAAATAGAAGCATGGAACAAAATTAATCTGTAACTGATAATTATTCTAATTGCCCAACTCCTGGCCCAGATTCAGCTGACTGCAGAGTCTGTGCAGGTAGTCATTTTGTGTCCCTGTTCTGCTGTGTCTCATCACTGATGGTGAAGTGCTGGAGGGGGTGTTTGTGTCTGGTGGGCTGTTCCTCAACTTGCCATTTTGCCAGATGGGCTATGGAGTAACTTCCCCTGCAATTATACAGGTGGATTGAAGGAAAGTGGCAACTTCTTAAGTGAGAGCTGTCCATTTACTGCAGTGCAGCTGTGGTGATGCACAAACCATGTCATGCAATGCTTCCACCAGGGGACAGAAGTGGCAGCTGTGTGAATGGTGGCTCTGTGCACAAATGTTTATACAAGTGCCTGTACAAACATGTGCAGAAGATTCTTCTTGTATAGAAGAATCACCCATTCCTCAGAGCCTGCAGCTATTCCACTCCATGTATTCACTCCTCAGGGGATGGCAGAGGAATTAGGGACAGAGATGGGCACAAGCTGAAAGCAAAACTAACCATAAAATGTCATTTTTCTACTTTAAAAATAATTTCAGTAAAACATTACCTAACTTAAATTTATTTGTAAAATGCTATATTATATATAGCAAGAGCACATCAATATTACAAAGTACCACTGTTTGGAACCAGTAACATCATATTTTCTATTAAGGACTAAAAGCAGCATATTTCAGAGCAACAAAACTTCAGTGCTTCTTTACAAAAGGAAGAAAATTAGTAAGGCACTTCCTCTAGGGTGCTAATAGCAAAAGCACCAGTATCCTTTGAGGCAATACAATAGTAATGAAAATGTTAATTTTAAACAGATTTACTATGCAAGACAAAGGCCTGGATGCTCCTTGGAGCAGCTTGTAATAACACTGGTCTAAGCCAGAACAAAACACAGCAGCATAGTACCAGAGTTTGTATTTTACCTTTTCGCCAACATTATTAAGGAAAACTAACATGACCAGGTTCAAAGCAGAGCAACAGCAGGACCTCCTGCAGTCATCAGAACATCCTGCATGTCACAAGCTCTTTACTAAACCACTAACACTTACTTGGAATGGGCACAGCCCTCGTGGCTGGGCACATATCCAGGCTTGGCTGTGCCCCTTCCTAGAGGAGTCTGACACTTCTGTCCAACAGGGAGCCAGGAGCCCACCACTATCATTGCTTTTCAACAGCTCCAGAAATATTGGGGAGTTGGGCATTCTCCATGTTGGTAAGCCCAACAGGCAGTGGCTGGAAAACTCAATAACCACAGTGCTCACAGGCTGTTGTAGTCATCTGTACTAATTCTTTCACTATGAATTCTTGTTTCCTATGATTTCAGAGGTCAGTAAGACTCTACTTACTGAAACTGTTTTAGGAGGTACAAATATGCCTTGGCAAACAAGAAAAATACTCCCAACTCAAGAAGTTAGGCAACCTAGAAAATGGGCAAATTCTTCACATTCCAGTGCATCCTTTTGCCAGCCCTCTCTTTTTCTAACAAAATACCTGCTACTTTACATCCTCTATACATGAGAAAAATCTAGATTTTTTTCTTAATTTAGGACTTACTATATTAGCATACTAACTATACTTGAAGCCACACATTGAAATATCTTTGGATGTGCTGTACTAGCAGTCTTTAAACTTTCAGTAAACGTAAGTTTGTTCCAGTGAACCAAATATATTAATTTCCTGTAGTGAATATTTCTCTATACTACATCCCATAGTCCAAGTTGCTATACCCACATACACACTGCACTCCTGTCCTTTACAAAATAAGTTACACTTACTGACTATTCTGGGTTAACTACTTGCTGGCATGACTGTAACTCCATAGGGTCTCGTCTCACAGGATCTCTCTCAGTTGTTCCCTTCTAGCCTGAGGAATACTGCCAAATCTCTATCCAACACTGAATTGTAAGGATTAAAAAAAAAAAAAAAAAAAAAAAGGAATGTTTTGAGATACTCAAACTTTTATAGGGAAAATAATCTTGGATAGGGAGGTGAAATAATTCTGTTGCTTGTTCTTTTTAAAATTGTGAAGAAAAGACAAAACTCTGATCATTGATCCTGTATCCTTCAGAGATGGCAGTGCCAATTCCAATGTCCAGAACAGCAGCCAATCCAAACATCATCTTTACTTCACTGGGTTTATACAACCAGTGGTTCCCAACACTGCGTTAACTTTTCTTCGCTGACTGTGTTGACGACAACATGGTCGCTGTCATACTGAGTGCCTCCTGTAGAGAGAAAGGTCAAAGAGGGGAGGTTATCTTTCAAATAAGAGACAAATACTCTAGGTTTCAGAAAAGCTCTGTAAGAGCTGGTGTAGACAATTTATCTTCGACCATAGCTCTGAGAAGACAAATGTATTTTCATCACTGCCTGCTTTTGGAATTTATTTTTGAAACAGTTTTTGAATTAACCAGGATCAGTCTGCCTTATTCTCTCCACCCCTTTAGCAATTCAGTTTTCAGCCTGGGTGGAAAAGGAAAGAAACACTGCTGTATAGTCAGGTGCAGCTCCTTGAAGACTGTCACTTCCCAAAAGTCATGCTTGACTATTCAGTTTTCCTGCAACATTGTCAATTGGCTCTAAAAACAGAGTGAAGATATTTAGATGATGAAGTAGGTCCTTCTGCTACCAGACAATACACATGTGACCAAGTCAGAGACAAGGTCTGGCACTCGTTTACTCCTCACCATTATAATCCTTTATTTTGACCAGATGAATCACAAGTCATCATGCATAATGTATCACCCAATGCTCAGCTGTTTCCACTGGCAGCTCAATGTATCTGAATGCAAAATAGGAACATTTCTTAGGGGAGCTTAATCTACTGATGCGGTACAATGCCAAATATGTTCTCATATAAGAGCACCATTAATATTCTAACTTAAGAAACTGGGAAGCAAAGACATTTCACTGGAGCTGAAAGTCAGAATTGATGGTTTTCTCCCTCAGATCTAGTATGTACTGCAGAAATGTAGGACACGTGCATTTCCTGCAGTACAACACACCTGCAAAGCAGGTGCTGTTCCCACTGGAAGTAGCCATCTGTGCAAGCCATTTATACAAAGCACCGGGACACTCCCACAGACACTGTCTTTTTGTTCTGTACCCCCATTGCCTCACCCTCCCTGACTGAGCAAAAGACAAGCCTGGCAGCTGAAAGCTTATGATGAGTCTAACATACTGAGCTTTGTAGCTAATGTTATGTTTTTGTAGCTCAGTTATCACTGTGAGTGCAGAAATTTTTTTAAAGTGGTGTCTGATAGAATGTAAACATGTTAAGATGGGAGTTTTTTTTCAGTGGATAGAGAGACTATTTACTTTGATAGCATGGTGCTCTGGACAAGGCTTTGTGCTATGCCAGTTTATCCACAAGGTGGCATTGGCAACTGCACTGTTACACAACTGCATTCATTTGCTGAGGAATTCTTTAACACACAATTTGTGGTCTGGAATGAATCGGGAGAGTTGGCAGAAACAGGCAATGTTCTTACTAGGCTTTCTCAGAAAAAAAGCTACATGTATCTACTGTTTTGTATTTATTGTACAGATTTACTTTGTTTTAAGGCTAAGAGTGCATCTATACTCCCACTACCAGGCCCATCAATTGTAAAGTTCTTCAATTATAAATGCAGAATTGCTTTTAACATGATTTACTGAAGAAAAGGCAATGCAGTAGTATTTCTGCTTGTTTGGAACAGGGTCCCCAGGAAAGCAGTCACAGCACCAAGCCTGATAGAGTTGAAGATTTTGGACAATGCTCTCAGGCACATGGTGTGACTGTTGGGGTGTCCCTTGCAGGGTCAGGAGTTGGACTTTGATGATCCTTATAGGTCCCATCCAGCTCAGGATATTCTATGATTCCACACGTTCAGTCCTGTTTAGATCTAAAGTGCTGACTACTGACTCTGCTGTTTTTCTGGTTGGTTTGGGTTTTTTTGGGGGGGTAGTGGTCATTGTAATTGACATAATGTCACAGCATCAATTTAAAATCAATTTTAAAACAGCTAAAAATATTAACAGAATAGAACAGATACAGAAAATGTTTACTCCCTTCACTCACAAAAGCAGTTATGTAAGAACATCTGATTATGCTAATTCTGCTAATCATTAAATTTGCTACTTTTTTAGACCTTCTGCGAAGCTCTGAAAATGAAGTTGAGAAACAGTATCTACACAAATCAAATTACTATGACAAAAGTGACTCCAAAATACACATCAAGTGCTCACAGACCTCAGGCTGCTATGGCAGAATCTCACACTTGCCATATAGGCATAGCCATTAATAAACAAAAGAGCCCCACCTTTTTGCATCTAATCAGTATACAAGCCTGCATTTACATCAGTATACAAGCCTGCCTTTACTTTCCTAATATCCTTTGGCCATTGCATCTACAACTACCATGTAAGAAAATTTGCACTTACAGAAATTAAAGTTAATGAAAAGTTAGGTTGTTCTTGCTTCACCATTTTAAATAATCATATTCACATTGCCCAAAAATTAACTGAGGCTATCTACAGCGAGTGGACACTAAGAATACAAGATAAGCAAGTACTGTGGGTTACTAAATTGTATGTAGGAGAAATGAAATGAAGTCTTAGGGCCTGTATAATTCAGGAGGTCAAACTAGCTGATCGGGTCTTTTCTGCTTCTAGATTAAAGCAACTAAAGCACCATCCTTAATTTAGTGTGTATCCCACTGCAAATACCATGTAATTAAGACCCAATGTAATGAGATAACATTTGCTTACCTTTGATATCTAAAACCAGCTTGGGTTTCATCTTGCTATAAATTCTGCCATCGGGACTAATATGCCAATATTGTTTGTCTTCATTCCGCTCAAATGACAGACCGAGTTTAGAGCCAGGAGTTATAAGATTTCCAACAATTGTCAAGCAGCAATCCTCTGCCATCTGTGTCATCAGAAAGGCAACAGCAATTACTCAGAATGGCTTTACTTCTACTGTCCACTGTTTTTTTTATCAAATCTGAGAGATATCATCAGGTGAGAATAGAATTTAAGAATGACTTTCCCTCCAGGAATCCATTTTTGCCCCAAACTCAAGACTTATCTTTCTTTTGTTCCTGTTTATGCTGACACTCTCTACTACATGGGAACATTAAAATAACTATGGAGTATCAGACCAAAAGGAACAATTAGCACCTGTCTATAGCAGTGGCCAATAACTGAAGATTACATCAACACCATGGAAGATTACATTGCCAGTACTCTTGTATGAAGTATGTTCCTGGTTATCTCTTCCAGGCTACAGCAATTGCCAGCCCAAAGACTTTTCCATGCATTCCATAATCTTGAATACCCATTTTCTGTCCCTTGTGTGAATTTATTAGTCACTACCCACCAAGATCAAAGTAACCTTTAATGTGAACGCCCTTGTGTATTGTAACCCTTCCATACTGTGGAAAGCAGTTCCAAATCCCAACTACCATTATTTAAAAAAAAATATATATATAAATTAAAAATAATTTGATATGCAAGTAGTTTTATTTGATGTGCTCCTCATCCCTGGATTATTTTAAAGGATGTGTTGTCTATGCTATGTTTGCAGAGACTTCAAGCACATCATCCCTCAAAGTGTGCCCTTTGTAGGCTAAAATGTCCTCACTATTTTGCCTCTTCCTTGCATAGAGGCACTCCATTTCCTCTGAACATATTTTTTTCCTAAACATTTCTAGTTTTGCAGTAACCTTTTCATAAAGAGGACATAATTGCACAGTATCAAGTGTGCGAATTTCACAGGGTATCACAGAAATATTTGCTTCTTTGTTCTGCACTCTTTTCCTAGTCACTTGTATTACTTGATTCCAAACATCTGCAAATGTCTTCTTGGTTAAAAAAAGAGCTGGCAAAAATCAAGGTTTTTTCAAAAGAGTGTTAAGGCTGTATTACTAAGTAACAGTCAATTTTTCTAGATAAACAATGATTTTCAGTAGATCATCATAAACTGCACCTTTTAACTACTGCATGCACTTCTGTGGCAGATGGAACACTCATCTGTCGTTGAAATGGCCCTAAATTATTTTACAAGTACTTTTGAAAGCACTTTTTCTTGAAAAAGTTATACTTCTGAGTGTCATAACCTAGAATTAAAGAAAGTTGATTTGGTTGTGAAGTTCTCACTTGTATCTGAAGCATTCTCTAGTGGGACAAGGAAAACTCTTGAGCTTAGACATTAAGTTCCCTAGGCCAGAACTTAACCCATCTCCATGAAACTCATGAAGAGTAAGGAGACCTGCATTCACATTTGTTTCTGAAAAAAGAGCAGAATGACTTTCATATCTTGCTTACTGGTTATCCCACGTACTTGAAACAGCCCTTCCTTGAAAACAAACCTCAGGCACAGCTCAAGGTCACATCTCATGACTCAGTCACTGAGATGACCCAAGCTTACAGGAAGGTGCAGGTTCTTCCAGTGACCTGTGTCTGCCTCCATGCAGGTAGTTACCCACCCAGGAGCTCAGTTTTCTTTGTAATATGTGGTGAACCCAATTTCTGGTTTGTGCAAAATGGATTTACTACCATTCACCAGAAAGATGGCAGAGCTCTGTAGGAGTTCAGTCACTTAAGATCAATGTTGCCAGCCTGCACTCTGCACTAAGCTACCTGATTGCTATACAGCACAAGCCATCTATTTTCTGTGCACAGAAAAATTGCTTTATGAGATACAGAAAAAGGGCAAAAACCAGGAGCATTTATCCAAAGCCATATAATACCACACTGTCTCAATATGAAATCTTGTTGACATGTTTGAGAAGCACCATCAAAAGAGAAGTCTTTTGTATGTCATATTAAAGCTTTTAGCTTACTTTGCATCATTTTGCTGTCTGCATAAATCCCTTTTACAACTGCATGTGTCCTGCAAACATGTCCAAACAATGCCTTAGCTTATTAACAGTAAGATTCTTCCCTCCAGCATAGATGACATAGTTATAAATGGCTCCTTTGAAGTTATACAGTCCTATAGAAAAAGTTCACATGATTCTTTGCAGTCAAGCTGTTTAACAGTATTAAAGTAACTTAATTTTCTTTTGGCTGGCATCCCTACCGAAGACTGTTCATGCTTAAACATTATATGAACTGTGCATACCTCTGCTCACCTCAATGACAATTTGCACATGATTAGTTTTATGCACTGTGAGAAAAGTAGGGCTTCATTTGGAAACTTGTACCGAAGAAAGGAAAAAGGATGGATTTGTCTAATACAGGGATAACCAGAAAACAAACAAAAAACCCCAAAAAACCAAAAAAACCCACCCCTAAATGGCTCAAAAGAGTGGGATTTTATCTTTAAGCTTGTCTAAATGCAGAAGAGGATAGTGTCCTAGGGTGACTTTATGATGTTTATATTTTTAACTGTTTCCTCCCAAATTTGCTCTAAACCAGTACAAATACCAACCTACATTACACTAACTGTCCTACTGCAAGGTATGCATAGTTCAAAATATTATTAGGAAGGGTCTCCCCTGCTTTGATACTTTTGCAATACTTTCTCTCAAAATTTCAATTATATCAAAAAAAGTATCATACAACTAGTTTGTATCACCTGAAAAAGCCAGAGCTGATAAAAACAAAACAATGCCCACAAAAACCAACTCCCTACAGAAAGATTACATTATAGTTGAAACAGATTAAGCCTATAAAATAAATGAAGATGTTGCAGTAGGAATTAAATTCATAAAGCCCTATTACTGGAGAGGAAAGGAGAAAATGCACATTGAACCCAAACCTTACCCGACACCTTATGAATCCATCCTGATAAACCCAGATTTGATCATCTGAGTCTGTATCTTCTGCAACCTGAATTCTGAGAAGATTCAGATTATCTAGGTTGCCATCAGCTGACATAAATTTTCCTGTTTCCTTGTTTCGAAGCCTGAAGTACACACGTTTCTGCACAAAACAAAAGCACTCTTTAACCACAATCTCAGCAGAGACAGCAGTTACTGTCAGTGCTGAACCCCAAACTTCCCTCTTTCTTTCTGAAAGCTTAAGTTTTTAATTTGAGAACGTAATTCAGAAGCCCATAAACGTGGACAAGACAAGCTGTGAGAACTCACCACTTTGTATGGAGAGTTTTAGGCTTTGCTATGCACTGAAATCAGCGCACAGTGGAAAGCTAAAAATTTTTAATTCAGAGCAGAACTAACTTCTCTCTGCTAATTCCCTTCCATATATCCTCTTAGCTTTCATTAAGGGTGCACTTGTGTGGCCTCTTACACATGAACACTTCTGTTCAGACAAGTTCTCAGCAGGGCAGTCAAAATGCATTATTCCTAATTCTGCTTAAGGCTATGCAAAGACAAAGCTATGACAGCAAGCAAATGAAGCTGGTTACAGGTACAAGTAACCTGTGAATTAGGAAAAGCTGTTTCTCCAATGAAACCAAGAACCTCAAATGTTAAAGCTCCCAGGACTGCTGCACCATTGGACAAGATCACATGGAACAAAATATTATACATATTTACAGAACAAAACATATTTTTAGAACATGAGTGCGTGACAAGAATAAATTTTGCATTAGATTTGGAAATTATTTTGCCAAGTAATAAGCAGGGAGGGACTTTTCCTCTTAAATCAACACAAAATCACTACTAACTGAAGTATCTTTTTTTTTTTTTTCCCATTTTCTTGTTGTTCCATAAATAATGCAGACAGTACAGACAGTATGCCAGCAACCAGTCTGGGTGCTAGTTATGAAACAACTTAAAATCATTTCTATATAGCAGTTATAGCCATTATTTATTAATCCTTAATTAATCCTTATATGCTGTCTTCTGTACTTTGGTTTAAAGGATGCTTAATTAACAGTTTAAGCCGTGTAACTGCAAAGCCATGTAGCATATTCAAACAGCTTTCATTACACGCAAAACTCTGGATTTCTTTACACAACTGCCAATGCTGAAGTTTGTCACATGCCTGTGACAAGGCTGTAACGCTGCTTACAGCTGCATAGTATCTCCCCAACCCCATGACAAGATGTAAATTAGTGCTTGACATGTCATGTCAAAGGCCACTCACCTGCAGTAAGGGTCTCAGAGAACCTATCTGACAAAAGCCACTGGCTTTATACCAATCTGGAATTTCATTTGGTGTTAGCATCATCTGACGTCCCCTGTAATTACTCTGTTCATAAATTATCCATCTATGAGGAGAAAAAATAAGACAATGTTTTAACTGCCAAATTCTGCTTTGGAATCAATAAATGAGTTTAATAGAAATCTGTCCCACAACATAGTAGTGTTTAGCTTTGGAAAGCCAATTACCTTCTTTGTAACAGGCCTTAAAAAATAATAAAATAACATCCTGATTAAGGTCAGCCACTCTGAGATGGGTACACAGGAGTTCTAATTTTAGAATCCTATTATTTAAAAATTACAAGCTGAATGAAGCACAGCATTTTCTTGGGAGAACCCAACTTTTAAATGCCATTTGTTTTCAGGAGGCACTGTGACTCCTCAAGGAGCACAGATCTATATGCAGTAAATGCTACATTGCTGCAGGTGCAGAACCAGCTGGTTTGTGTGTCTGAATTTGGACAGGCCTGGCTCACATGAGAAAGAACTACTATGGATGCAGACTGGAACAAGCAAATACTGGAAACTGCAGCAGGGTGAACTTCTCTTGGGTATTTATTGATAGAGTTTTATTTCATAACATCTCTCTTCTTTCCAAATACCTGCAAGGGGGGTGGGGAAGAGACAGAGCAAGAGTGCACATCAAAAAAATCTGTTTAGCATTCCTTAACATGCATCCAACTATGCTTAAAATCACACATTGAGTGTAATCTATCAGAACCCAACTTCTGATTCTCCATTATTGACACAGCCAGTGAATTATGTCTGGGCTTCAAAATAGGCTGCCATACAGTGCAATTTCTAGTTTTCTCACAGTGATGTGCTGGGACTGTCTGGTAGCCATGGGGGTTTGAGTACATGAACACTCAATATGTTCATTTTCAGGTTACCTCCCTCCTCTGACTGATTTGTCACCAGACTTCTCCATCCAGAAGAAAATTCACTTTAATTTTGGTGCTTTTTCACTGCCTAATACACATCTATCCCCAGGAATTATAAATGGAGGTCTCTAAGTGAAGGCAGAGAAGATGAAACTCTCTTCAATAAGGGAGGCAGCAGGGGCAAGGAAGCTGTAAACCCTGTATTTTGACACATTTCAGCAGCTGCCACTGCTATAATGAAATCCAAATTTACATACCATAGTCTATGTTTCCAGTGATCCACCACAAAAAAGAACCCCACATATATTAATTGGACAGAAACCATACACAATTCACAATTCCATTACCTGCAATAATGATATTGGCAAAGAAGTAACTTGATGTTTGACTTCATGTTATGGAAAGTGAGAATCAACTATATTGTGGTTATGGTGAAAGATACTGAAACCTTTGGAGGCTTCACAATACAAACATGTACCTTTTCTTACAACCTTTGTTTCAAAGTTCAGTTCAGTGTGCTAAGAAAACTCTTTGACCAGCTTATCCTGATGGGGAAAATTATTTACTCTACAGATTGGCTTATTAGCTATCCACTTGAGGGCAGTCTTAAGCTACCCAACAGCATCTCTCTAGCACACACCTTGGAAATTTACCTCTTCAAAAGAACACATTTAAATGCAAAGCAACAGTAACATGGACCTATCATTGAAACAAAACCAAAAAAACCCAAATGACAAAAACCACCAAAACTGGGGGCAAGTATCTCAGAGGTATAGGTTAACAACCTATAGGTTAACAACAGGGAAAAAACCAAAAAGATAATTTAACAGATATGCTGGAACCCTAGATTATAGGACAGTAAATTTTAAAAGCATTATTAAAAAAGCCTCCTAACAGCTTTTAAGCTTCATGACAGAAATTTAAAATGAAGTAAACTTCAAGACTATTTTTTACATAGTCTTCTAGGGTATGTTTAGAGAACACAACTGCTTAAATACAGCTGCCAAATCTAACCACTAGATTCTCATCCAATTCCTGAAGTAAAGGGACTATTACTACTAACACCAAGAGAGGTGAGCTCATGGTCTGATTGTACCTCTGTGTCCATAGCAGAGGTTAAAGGATGACCATGAAGACTTATTAAAAAAACATTTTTAACTTGTAACACAGATCACAAACCAGATGATTTTTTTACAACTGAGACATAAACCAAGAGCAGAGAAGTTGGTTTTAAGGATGCTATCCAAGCTGATTTTTATAATATGGCATGAGAGAAGACATGAGTTTTTCTGAGAGCTTTATTCAAATTCATTTCAACTCCTAGCAAAGGACATGAGTCAGTGATAATATATTGTTGAGACAGGATATGAAAATGCTCTGTAAGATGAAATGGCATTAATGCACTGCACACATTATGATATTCTAATTTTACATTCTGTGGTTCCATTACACCTGTAAGTACTTCATTCTAAAGAATCAAAAGGTGATTTTAAACTTACATGCCACCAAGGACTTGAACTGAAGCTATGCGAGGATTGTATCCCAGGAACTGCAGATTTAAGATTTCTGTACTGAACTCGATTTTCTTTCCTTGGAAACCCGTCTTTTCAAAAAGAGCTATGCAGGGCTCAGACAGCTCCTGCAAAAGGAAGATAAGTGCTTTTATAGGATGTTGGAATTCCAGATGGTGACTGTGAAGATCAGTATGCCACATACTCCTTTTATTTCAGAGGTTTCTTCTGGATTGTTTAAGATCAAAAACCCTGAATGTTTCTGCTCTTCAACTCTCTAATTAAACTTGAAAAGTCATAAAAAAACCTTATACAAAATACAGGAGGGATCTGCTTACATGGAACACAAAGCTTCCTTATCTTCAGGCACAAAGACCTCTGTGGCTGGTTCTTGCACAATACCTTAAGTATGTTTTAAAATACATTTTAATCAATGCCATATCTCTCTTGCATTGCACTAACCCCCACTCGTGGGAATTTTCATACAAAGAGCTGAACAGACAGTAAGATAATATTGATTTCTACAGCTTCAAATGATGACAGCCTTGTCAGCACTGCTTATCACTTACTGCATTAATTTTTAACTTTTACAGTAGGTTACAGCAACTTCAATCTCTGACTAGACAAAAGATTCAAGATCCATACTACTGAAGTAAAAATTAACGACAAGTAAAAACTGTAACATTGGAATCCTCCAAATTGCTGTGGGGAGATGATTCTTCTTCTCTGTCAAAATGCTTCTGATGTCAGAGGGATTCTGCCCACACAAAACTCTCTGCAATACTGAATCCAATTTGAAGGTCTTTTGGAAAAGGAACTTTGGACTCTTTTCTGTGGGGCAAGGTATCTGTAGTGGACTGAAAATAACCTGTCATAATGAAGGCCTTCCTGTGGAAGCTGGGAGGTAGGGTTTGAAATTCCCCAGGGTAAAGTCAATTAAGCCTGAGTGTCCTGGTGCTACAGTGTACACTCATAGACAGAAATGACACTGCCACTCCCTTTCTCACAAATCTTCCAGCCAGCCACTGCATCAATCCAACGCCGCAGCCAGAAGAGCTCCTTCCTTCTGGCAGGTGTTCAGGGCACTCACACATCAGCTGGATCGGGAACGCCTGACATGACGCAAAGTCTCGACAGACTCCCATCCGCCCTCAGGCATGCAAACAGGCCCTCCAAGGCAGAGCTGGCTCCATGCATGCGTGGCAGCTCATATATGCATGCTTCCATGGGAATTTATTAGGCAAGACCTCCCATCTACCCATTTCTAACAGTGCTTAAATTCCTCTTTAATCTCCCTTTAGATGTTTAAGGGCTCAGATGACGGCGTTGCATGAGCGTCACCATTACCTTCACAGCAGTCCAGTTTATCACAGAGCAGCTGAGCTCTGCTTCCTGATGGCACACATGCTGCTAGGCTGTGGAGAATTCCAGGAGAGGTCTTTTCCCTTTACTCCAACATCAGAGTCTGCTCAGCCCCACCATGAAAGGCAACACCAGTTACATTGTCATGCACCACCACAGCTGAAGAGCCCAACGGGACCAGTCACACTTTGATGACATCTCAGTGCCTCTGAACTCTAAGCCCTTTTAGAGACTGGCACCTGCCCTCTGAGACATGCAACTTCTCAGACAACAGCCTTCAGCCTCATGCCATGCTTTAGAAATAATCCTCTTGTAAAGACAACAGAAATAGAAAAGAAAATCCTCCAATTTTCTGCCACACCTTATACTGGGAATTTTTTTGATTCAGCAGCAATACTGTTATATAAAACAGTGACAAGTGCAAGGTCAGCTCATGAATTTTCTGTCAGTTCTTCCCCTGTACTGCACTGTACCAAGCTGGTGTTCCTGCAGATCTCCATTTAGTTATTCCACAGGGTTTCTCATTACAGATGACTGTTCAAGTATAAACCACATTCACAGCTGTTTTTTATAGTATGCTCAGGAAGAAGAACGTGTGTCAAATTCAAGAAAGAAAAATGCCAGGTTCTATCTGCAGCACAACTATGTGGAACATGCAAAGCAAGCACAACCAAGATATAGTGGAATCTAACACCCTTATACCCTTGAGTCTATAAACAGCCCTTAATATAGTTTCATAAGTTCCCTTATTTACAAAAGCCCTTTTAGCTTTCACTTATAAGTGTATCAACTATCTCTTTAATTTCCTCTTGTTTATGGTCACTTAAAAAATCATCCTTTCAAAAGGGGTGTTTAACTAGATAAATACAGTAACATGACATTAAAATAGCAAAGGTGCTTCTTATATAGAAATGTCATGAAAAATCCCGAGGAAAGTTATAGAAATGGCAGATGGTAGGGAGGAATTAAGATTGGCACTGCCAAAATACAGTCCCAAAACATGTCTGACAGGTGAAACCAGGAGCTAAAATAATAAGGCTCAAGCTTTAGGAAAATCATGAAAAATAAACAATGTAAGTAGTAAGACAGAAATAATCATTCTTTCTATTCTGGTTTGCTAATAAACCAATGAGCAAAGTAACCCATTCTCCTCTTCTCTGCAGCTAGGGAGCCTCTGAAGAAGGAAGCAGCAGCACATGATTTGCAGACAGATGCAGCTCTGTGCTGCTGTCTGAAGTGTGATAAAACATAGGGCTAGAACAAGTTTCACAAGTGTAAAGAACTTAAAGAAGCACAGAACTGCCATTTCTGTTTTAACACATCAGTCTCTGTCACAAATAGTAAATAATTTAAAAGTAAGCTGATCCTTCCAGCTTGAAACAAACATTTTAAACCCAGGAACTACTGAAATGAAACAAGCATTTTAAAGCCAGGAACTATTGAAATGTATTTTAATTCATGGCAATCACCCATCAAGCTTGGCTAGAAACAATTCTATTGTTTTTAATAAGATCTGTCTACTAGCCAGCCCAAGAGTTCAGAAGGCAGACCTACTTGCTGCAGTTGTTTACAGAGTACATCAAAATTCTCCAGAGCTGTGAAAGAGGATGACACATTTCAGCTCTCCTTCATCAACTGCTACACCACTGACAGGTTACCAAAATTACAGTGGAGTGCAATAAAGTTGCCAAATTCAAAGAGAACTCCTTTTTTAAAACAAGTACCATCTCCTCATGTTGCTGTAAGTTCCTGGAAACTTGACCACATTTTGCTAGTAATTACTTTGATCTTAAAAGATACTTGCAGATTCCATAAGTGATCCATCATAATCATTGGTTATAAGCTTGAGTAAACTCTTTCCTGGCCACTGATGAGTTACAAAATATGTAAATGTAGTTTAGTTTGTATCCACCACACATAACAACACGGCCTGATTTTGCCAAATAGTATTGGGTGTTGCTTTACCTATCTAGAAGGGTGCATTATTTTGTGATTAACTCAAATTCCATTGTCCTGATGATAACAACAGTGTCTTATAATTACATGTATTACATGCAAAGTTGCTTAATTAGGCCTGTTTTTTAAATATGCATCCAAAACAAGGTCCATGGTACAGATATTTCTTCACACCGTCCTACCACCTTCTCAACCCATTCTAAGTGGTCTCTCCTACTGGGAAATAGACTTGACTCTGTACAGAAGTTTTTTATAAGCTGTTATTAAGGATAGGCATCCCAGGCAGTTGCTTCTGTAACATCTTCTCCTTTACAAAAACAGCACAGAGGTCAAGAAAACCTGACTAACTGCAGCTAGGATATTTAACTGCTACTGCACAGAAAAAAACCCAAACCAAACCAAACAAACCAACCCCCCCACGACCCCCAAGCCTCCTCTGTTGTATGTGTGCCCTAGAATTTTTACTGTTTCAAAAAGAGGTATCATCACCGTCCTTATCTTTATGGTATTTCAAATAGGTTTTACTTACAATATTTATGATCTGTAAAGATTTTAGAACTGCTTGGGGTGAACAACCCATTGCTGTCAGATCAGGATAGATCCCTTCTTCCAACACATACTGGTTACCAGCAAATTCCTCCTGGTCATACACTATGCAGCTGCAGAAAGAAGGAGAAGAAGTTCCCTTAAGACATCTGCGCCAGTAAAATGCAGATGCATTATTTACAATGTTTTGCCTGAAAGATCAATGAGAAAACAGCAAAGCATTGTTCTCTGTAAGTCCCCATCTATGAAACCACCTCATGTGTTAGAAAGCTGGTTGCTTTTCTAAAACTTCTACCATTTTAATGATTTTGCATTATTCATTCAATATAACTTACCTGCCATCTAAAATTTTTGAAGACTTCACAGCAAATGAATCAATACATCTTGTGTTTTTTTCAAATATTTGGCAGTTACCCTTGAATTCAGGCTCTGAAAATAACTGGACCTTTAAAAAGTTATAAACATATTTAAGGAAATTAATTCTTCTACCTTCAGTTACATGTCTACCATTAATTCTATAATTACATAAAAAGATACTTATAACACCCAGCCTTCCTTGGTTACCTATGCTTGTCACCTCTTCAGTGTTACAATCCTTGCTCAAGAGAGCAAGGTAACAACTCCAAAAATTACTTCTGGCTGTAAATCACTTAGTGACATACAAAATAATTAAAACAACAATAACAAGTATATCTTCTAGGTCTATCTGCTGGGTAAGATGTTTAAATTCCCAAAGAGTGACCAGAAGAGGCACAACTTTATTAATAAAGGCCATAAAAAAGATTTCTTTTATATTACTAATCTGCTTAATCTCCAAAATGCATACTCTTCACAGTAAATGGAAACTCCCTGCCTCTCAGAACACTAATGGTGTATAATCCTGGCAAAGGACTCAGACAGCATGCCAAGAAGTATGGCATATATTCCCAGGATAGATGGGCTTTATGATGGGCTTTACAGCTACAGACACAGTCTCATGTTAGTCTTTTCTCTGCTCCAAGGATAAGAGAGGATACATCGCCCAGAGTGTTTTGCCCTTATTAAAACATAAAAAAATTAAAAAATTCTAAGCAGCAAACTTGCTAATTTGGCTAGAGGATAATTAGCCATGATCACACAGAAGTCATTCCCATTACAACATGCCTACCAGCTTTATTCACTCTTAATAGAGATAGGAGTGTGGGCAGGTACAGCGCTCTCCAAAGAGGAGCACGCTGACGATGGATGCAGTCTGTTGGCTGCAAGCCACGACTTCTTTGTTTCCTTAGGATAAGGTCTTCCTTAGGATAGGGTCTTAATAGGCACATAATGTAAAGATGCAAATAATTTTTCATGCACACAGCTGAAAATAAGCAGCCTTGAGATTTTTATTCCCCATAGTTTATGCATTATCCCCATGCAGGAGATTCCAGTGAAGCATGCTACTAATCAGGAGTAGCAAACCAGGACAGCTAAGAATTGTCTCCTTAGGTTTAGGGCTCTGATATACTCACTACTTTGAAATGAAAATAAAAATAACAATAACTTTGTACAGGGACAAACCTGAAAATTTGAAAAGATTCAGAAATTAAGAAGGATGAAAAAAGCTGCCCATTAGCCTCACTGCCAAAACTACATATTAGTACTTGCACAAAGGAGACAGTCCAATGTAGAAATATATTAACTCACAGAACAACCAAGTTCTCCCTGCCATTTCCTTCCCTTATGTTATTGACAAAAAATGGGATTAACTTTTAAACAGAACTCAGCAGTACTCGTGAGGGAACAACTCCCTTCAAGTGCAACCACCACTAACAAAACTCTTAACTAAAGAAATAGGTTCACAAGGAATTAAGTCAGCTGTACCAAGAACAACATCTATCCTGTAGTGCTCTCACCAAAACATCATCTGTTTGTAGAGCTCTCAGCAACAGACTCCAGGTCCTGCACCTCTGCATACAGGGCTGCAGGCTCCAGCTCTATAAAACAATCACTGATACCCCAAAACACCTCACTTGATGAATCAAGACATTGCCAGTGCCCTAAGAAAGTTCTGATGGCAATTGTGTATCAAATCCCACCTTCCCTGGGTCTTAATGTGCCTTACTCAAGAGGTTTGCAATGTAGCCTTCATCCACGTGCAGTCTTCACTCTTTGACTAGTCAGCCATCTATGCAAACACCTGAGTGTTTCCCTGGACAAACAGCCACTTCTTTATTTACATGTTACAGACACTACACAGTATGCTTCACATGCTTAGAGAAGTATCTTACCTTGACTTTACCCCTTTCGCTTCCAGCAATATCCTGCAAAAGGTTTGAGGGGAAAGAAGAGAAAAAATATTTTCAACAGCGATAAAATATCATACAAAATTTACTATTAATTATCATTTAAATAATGTAAATAAACCGAATTTGATAGAAAAAGTAGAGTTCCAAATACTTCAGCGAAACTTGCAAAACAAGTAGAAAATTAGCTCCTTACCATAACAATGGGTTGAACTGAAGATATTTTGCAATTCTTTCCCCCCCATGCCTCAATGCTGGGATACAGCCCTTTAGCCAGTATATACTGCTCCCCTGTAAACTCAGGATTCTCATAAGCCACCCATCTAAAAGAGAAAGGAGAGTGGTTGGTAGAAGTCACACTACTTTACCAAAATGCAGATGTGTACATTCATTACTGTCTTAATGTAAGAACAAATAAAAAGTTTCTGAAGTGCCAAACTGTGATACTGTTAAAACCCTAAACAAACCAGTGTATCTGATAGTGCAAACCTATGCAAATTTTACTACCTTCTTGCACGATGTTGATACAAATCAGAGTGAATGAGCTAAAGCAAAGCACAAGTTCAGACACATCATGTGCCACATATCCTAAAAGTTACCTCCAGTAAGAATATTTCAAGATGTTTTACAATTCTATTATTCTACCAAGGTCAAGTTCTTCTCTTAAAAAAAAAAAAACAAAACAAAAAAACAAACAAAAAAACCCCAAAAAACCCAAACAACCAAAACAACAGACAGATATCAGAATACAGCCTTTTCAATAAAACTAACTTTCAGAGCAAGCTGAGCAGTAAATGTAGCAATACTGACTTTTAATGTTGCCTGTAGCTACAGCTCAGTTGTGTTTAAGCAAATACACACCCCACAGGATGCTGAGCTGCAACAACAGGCAAATATGCTAAGCAGAGGAGACTGTTCCCTGCTAGGAATCAGAGACAGCAAGAAGAATATCCTTGAAAGCTAAGCACCAAAACCACCACAAATTTGACCAGATCAATGTATTTAAATGCAAAGCTGTTACTGCAACTACTCAGTTGGATCTCATGCTTGACACAGGCCATAAACTCAGAGATCTGCATCAAGTCTTCTGTCTCAGTCAAAATATGCCTTTTTGAAAGACTTTCAACTTTTGACATGATACACACTTGAAGTATTGGAAAAGCAACCAAATCACTATATATATCTCTCTGATGTCCAATTACTCCTGCTCTAGGTCCAATCTTAAATATCTGCTATCAGTTAGTCTTGCTAAGAACAGTATACTACATTCAATAAATCTTCTGTTACAGTGTTCTTCTGACCGTGGTTCCATACTGAAAGCCCAGACACTTCCTGCATCTATACTACTGTGGAAGGGGCTGACAGCAGGCCTGTTAGCTAAAGGAGTGAGAAGAAGCTGAGAACTAAGAAGAAACTGATAAGGAGCTCTCTCCAAGGCTGTAACCAAGGAGACCGAGAGAAGAAAGATAGAAGAACTTTGCAGCTGGATGAAGCATTTTTAGAAAGTTAGTTAAGTCACTATAACTTCTCACCAATAGTATTATGTTGATTTATTGTGGCCAATAGTAAAGATAGAAGAAGCATAAACAATTGGAAAGTGTATAAAAATCAGCCATGTTCAATAATAAAGTGTTGCCAACTGAGACTGCTTGTGGTCTCTGCTTTATGTCGTGACCGCCTCGACAGCGACATACTACCTTTGATTTTGTGATAACCTGCAGAACTTGACTTGCTTTTCACTGCTATACTTCCCAAGCTTTCCCATACTTACAACTCTTTTTTTTATCTGTTTGGTTGTTTTTTGAGTGCCCATATGAATTCAGACCACAGTAGCAGCTGCGTTTGGTTCATTATATTTATGCAGGAATCACGACATCTTGCTGGTTCCTGATTCTACTAGAAAAACTTCTACTCAGAGTCAACTTGCTTTTAATTTTAGCCACTGTAGTGCATAATGACTATATGCTAGGTTATGCCCAAATCCACTTTCAATGGGCTCAGAAACTTACTGAGTTTCTACACTAACAAAAATTTCATATCACAAAGCAGTAAAATGCTACAGATCTTAAAATCTGCAGGGGAAGGTAACTCTCAACATCAAAATTCCCCATTAATTTATATGAGTTGATCAATTGGATTCTACTAAGCTGCAGTTTTATTCCAGGTACAAATGCCAGAGTCTCTGCAGATACAAGAAGCGGGATAACTTCAAACTGAAATAAAGGTGCATCAACATGTATGTGCCAAGAGTATGAACTTTGTTTTACTTGTCCATGGCAAACATTCAAACAGTGAATCACACACATCACTATTCACGTCTCTTGGTTTGCCTCAGATATAATCAATTATTCCAACTTGTTACACACTAATTACTCACGGCATATTTCAAGGTCCATTTCAAAATCACCTCAGAGTAATTCATCAAAGAGACATTGGTATGTACAATAAATTGAGCAGAGAGTTCAAATGTCTCAGGTGTGTCTATACCTGTATATCACACACACCAAAAGCAGTGAAAATGAGGTTTCCTTAAACAATTTCTTCAGCAGGCATTCATTAGATTTTTCAGTGCTAAGTGCCAGGATACAGCTATGGTGCACAGTTGTTTTACTGAATTGAGATCTATGCAAACAAGTGTTTTTGATATAAAATTAACTGTAAGACATGTCAGCAGCCTCCTAAGAGCCCCTTGATAGCAGTTATTTAGTTCCCCCCAGCCTGAATGCAGAAGTAATCAACGAATCTCACTTGCACACGTTTACATTTAAATAAATGGGATTTAAATAATTAAGTGCCACTCTTCCATGCAAGTCAGCCCATGCAGTCAGACAGTTCCTAGAGTCAGGGCTTAGTGGTGAAATACTTGTGCTTCTCCACTTAATTCAGAAGCCCATGTAAGCTGCTGAAAGTAGTAATAACATCATCAAGCACAGGCAGCTGAATTCAGTACCAGCTAAACCTGCCAGACCTCAAGATTATCCCTAGGAAGGAGCACTGCCTTAATCCAACTTCTGACTTCACAGAAAGTCCTGGAGAGCAAGATATTGCCTCCACAGCTGAGCAAGAGTCACACTCCAGCTGCCAGGCACAACAAAACTGAAGGGCTGCTCTGCAGCATGGCAGCAACCATCCTGCCCCACGGGGAGTGAGCTCTCCTAGCACAACAGATTTTGTAACCCCCAGATGCACAAACTGCCCTCGTGAGGCTGAGCAACAGCTCCATCCCAGGCTGCTGGCAGGAGGGTGCTGGAGACCTTTCCTCCTGGGCACCATCCATGCCCCTGAAGCCAGGAGTAGCATAAAGCTTTGATTATGTATTCTTAGTACTATTACACACAGAGAATCTTTCTCCAAAAACATCTATGTGTGACATCTAGGAAGTGCAGCTCCAAACAGGGTCTGAGTGTACAGGCAAGAAAATAATCCAGATATGGGTAGCTCACCAAAAATCAGATTTGCCCTCAGTTAGCCCAGGACTCACCTTGTCTGACTTTAGGAGGGAGGTCAGAAAGTTAACTGGCACTTGCAGACTTGTACAATATTAACAAATAGAATGAGGTAATAAAATTGTATTTATAGGAGAGAGAAAATGAGTGCATCATGCTCCTTTGTGACTGTGATTCTTAGTATTCCAGGGACCTGCAAGCTTTAGTTTTATTACTCCTTTAAAGATTTTTTTTCTGAACATCAGTTCAGTTACACAGAGAAGTTAAAGCTTTGTTTGAAGTGCTCTCCAGTGGAGTAACCAAGGGTACTTTGCCCTTTTCAGCTCCCAGTGAAGGTTTGTTCTTGTACCTTGTGTCTCCAGTTTCACTATGTTACCTTCCTGAGTGCATCTAGGTTAAATTTACTATCTTCTGGTTTCTGTATGTGAACCACTCATTACCTAATTATTTCCTTAATATCACTCACTATCCATACATACTCTAGCAGCAACCCCATCTACATTGTGGATTAATTACTTGAAAACTAGGGGAAAACCAGGCTGATAACATAACCACAGTAAACAGATGACTACATAAAAGAAACAAATCTGGGAAATTTCTTCCAGCAAGTTCAAAGGAAATCGACTAAAAGACAAGAGCTTCTTCAGGAGTTCTGGCAAAAGTTTGGTGTGTTTATGGATAAAGAAAAGGCACATTTCAAACATGCAGTTCCTGTGATTTTGATCACTATTAAATAAAAGCTTGAAGGAGTTTTTAAGCAGAGGGGAAATCAAAATAGTACAACACTTGATTTTAGTACTTGCTTGAACTTGTAAAGGGTGTTACCTGTTGCTAGTAAATAGTTCAATTTTCCGCCACTTCAAATTCTGCCAGTTTGAAAGTAAAGTTCAAACCCTACTTAAAAGTAGAAAGGCCCCTCCTATTTCCAGGCAGCCTGGATTGCTTTCTCCTACCCTAATGGCAGAAAAATAATTTTTGAATTTTATGTTTGGCCAGTCTCCAAAAAATGCTCAAGAGCAAAACATTTTCATTTTTAAAGAAGTACATTTAATTTTTCAAGAAGTCAATCCTCATCTCCTTAGGATATATTTTTCAGGATGTTTTTACAATGGATTTAGCAAAGACACGAAAATATTGCTTGGAAACATGTTTAGAGACATTTAGAAATTTAGAAATTTGAATGCAGCTAGTGCTGAATTGCCCCAAAATTGAACAGTCACCCCCCAATGCAGAGCTGGTCTGTCTCCAGCAATACAGTTCAGAGCTGCAGTTGAGCTCAGAACTTGTTCCATAGTATCTGTGCACTGCAGTGTGAGGCTTTCTTTTCTTTGATATACCCTTTAAATTACAGAGCAATCAAATTAATTATGTGGGAAATACAGATCATCTGTTATCTTACTGCTCTAACTGCTTACCCCAGATATCTGTAGTTAAAAAATTGCAATGAAAGGTAGAGGGCTTCTTAAATTTTTGACTTATTTTAATTAAGTGTTTTCAATATAATACCAGGAAGGTTACTTCGAAATATTATGACAAGCTTTTATTGAATCTGTCATAGTTCACTATGTCATCATCTGCACTACAACCTAAACAGCTCAGGAAATTGCTCAATGGATTATTCATTGCCCTGTGACAGATTTCTTGGAAGGAAAGATATAAAAAAAATCTTCTACCTGAACAGACAGTTAATACTTAAAATAAAGCACTGTACTGCCAAACATGACTTCACACAGATCATTCAAGCTTTCTGGCACTTAAACATTGAGTAAGATCACCACAAAACCCCCAAACACTCACAACTTCTCTGGAAACAGAGGGGTTGTACACAACTCTCAAGAGCTGAGTGCTAGCCACCTGTTATGAGCAATGCATCTGAATGTTTTAAAACCTTATTGCTACAAATTACATCTTTTGGAGTCTACAAGATGAGATTACAGAAGTGGTAGCAGAGTCTGTAGTTCAAGTTTTGTTCATAAAGACTTCTAGCCACCTCTGCCATCAGAGTGTTAAAGCCACTCTTAATTACTAGAATACTCAAACTCATGTATGATTCCCATCTCAGATGCAACAGACACATTTACTAGAACAACTACTTGAAGGGCATGATAGGTAACCCACAATTTGTTTCCCAACCTTCAGAGATGACTCTTTCCCAGGAATCTCTCTTGCATATTACAGAAGATAAAAGAGGACAATGGCTTCAAAGGTCACCAGGCAGAAAAAAACCTGCTGTCACACCATATTCATACAGAAATTAAAAGCATTCCTCTGGAATGCACTGAGCTTGATTCTGCAACCTTTATCCAGACAAAACTTGCAGAGATAGAGCACAGATAACACAGGGAAAGATTTTGGGTGTGGCTGGGTAAGGCAGAGCTTCCAGCAAGTCACCTGCATGAATACCAGGCAGGGAGACAGACTGTACATTTCATGCTTTTTTAGTTCTGGAACTTCAGTTAATTTTGTGTGTTTGCAGACATGATTGCTAATACTTGTTGGCATTTCCAAAATACTTTAATACAGTCTGCAAGGCTGTGAAACTCAATCTGCAGTTGATGGACTCGACTAATCAAACAGCAAAGTCTATCAGCTGATCAACTGCATGTGATAGCACTCATGGCACTAAGAGGTGGTTTGTTAATGGCCAGGGCTAATAGACACTTTTGGGAACCCTATGTTTAACAAAACCCCAAACAAACAATAAACACCAACACCACAGCACTAAAGCACTGTTAAACCTACAGGATTCACTGCAAAAGCAATGTTAATTTTCAGAACAGTTACTCTCCCTAGTATCAGAAGGTATTAGTGAGCATAGTAAAAGTTATCTCTATTTAAAACACAAGAGCAAGGAATCTACCTCTGGTCAAATGCAAGAAGCCTGGAAATTAGTTTCAAAAGTGGAAATTATTTCCATAACAATTTTGCTGTTGAAATGCTTCAAACAAATGCAATCATAAGAACAAGCTATTCCTCTCTAGATGAAATCTCATCTCATGCTTTCATACTCTGTGTATCAGAAAGTCAATGCTTCCTCAGACCATCTTATCTTATTGGAAGAAGAAAGATGATTTACTGTACATATTCACCAACACATTACTTTTCACATTCTGTGGTCAAGGGCAGAAAATTTTATCTGAAGACTCCACATAGAAGTCAGAGTCCTGAAAAACATCTGCAAACACCATCAATTTCTATAAAGACCAGCATATCTAAAATGAAAGAGTGAATAAAAATATCACTTACACGCCACTTAGCACATTTATAGACTGTGTCCTCAGCCCATATCCAGTGTCTTTCAAATTGGAAATGATACCTAACACGTTGATATTGGAACCCTTTGATCCAAAGTCTTTTTCACTGTACATTATCATATGAGAACTTGTGAAATCCTGTTAAAACAAAGAGGAGCACCATAAGGAAAGTGCCACGTGACATCTCAGAGCACTCAGGAGATGCCTACTGTGTGTTCTTGGAACTTACCCCAACAATTGGTCGCAGGGACTGCACCTCCTCATCGTAGCCACCCCAGTCTGCCCAATCCCGATACGCTCCTTCTTCCAGCAGGTACTGGTGGCCTTCAAACCCAGGCTTCTCGTAAGCAACCCAGCTGAACAACAAAAACAACAGAGGATGAACGTGAAAATGCACAAGTGCCACTCCATGGTTTCGTGGAGCAGATATAGGTACGTAATATTTATTCTTTTGCTGTGAATATTTTTAAATTTAACCCTGGTGTATACCTCAACCCAAAAATTACAAAAACAAAACAAACAGGGATTGGATTTGTCCACTGCAACTTCCAGCCTATGGAGTTACTACCTCAGCTGGAGGGTAAATACCACTTTTCCATACTTACACTCCTCCCAGTACTTTCATGGATCCCACTGATGTAAGTGGAAGTCGTGTCTTGTCTTCTGATTCCTTGTCATCAAGCATAAAGACTTCTGATTCTATTTCCACATGCTTTCCTTCAAAGAAAGGCTTCTCGTAAACAATTATCTGGAGTAGAAATGAAGGAAAAGAAAAATTGCAGGGAGGATGATGAATTCTGACAACAGACAATTTCTTTAGCATAGGCACATAGAGGGAGAATGCAAAATTATAAAACCAACTAGTGGGATCTCTCCTCTACAAGAGGCCTTTCCACTAGAGATGCAATGTGAGGGCTTGAGCATTGATCGCCCATCTGCATCATCTGGATTGCTGTTAATACTGTCATTTATGCATGTGATGGATGCAGAAATCTAACAGAAGTTGTATTTTCATGGTGTGGTCACATAAAAAAGGGCTACCCAGTAAAGCATCAGTATCCAATCAAAGCATACTTATCTACCCACGTGTAGTTCATGTGCTGTAAAATAGCTTTGGACAATCAACACATACTGACTTTTACCTTTGGCTCCCCACTGAATTCAACTTTGCGACCACCCTGTTAAAAGAAAAAGAAAAAGAAGAAAAATTAAGCTTTTCATGACTTAGACAACATGTAGATGTCTCTAAGAGTCATCAGTTCTCTGCAAAAAGTCAAGGACTGAGGTGAAATATTCCTTAAAGAGTGCAAGTGAAAATAAACGGCAGATTAATGGCTGAGATGGATGCAATCAAATGTTGTAAATTCAAGAATTTTATAGACTAAAAATTTTAGTTTTTTTAAGAGAGTTACATTTTTGTAAGTCTTGAAAAATCTAACCACCTTAATACATTATTTCTAACAGATAAACATAGGTCATTTAACTTGTAAGTAATACCAGTAGTTTACCATTTTCAAGGGTCTCATGGACCTAATGTAGGCTTCCTTCTTCTCCCAGAATAATAAATTAGGATATTCACCAGGCTCCAACATCAAAGGGACTCCCTGGAAACCAGGTTCTTCATAAAGAAGCCATCTAAAAGTAGAGGGGTGGAGGGACAAAAGTAAGACATGAAACCCCCAGAACATTTCTGAACAGTAAAGAACAAGACAATATGCTTACTTTAGGAACAAGATCATTGTCCCCTTTAAAGGGAGATGCCAAGCTAATATAAACTGGCCCAAATTGGTATAGTTTCATTGCAGACACATGGCTCCAAGAAACAAGCAAGGTGCTTTAGTTTCATTACTGTCTGTAGCTGAATGTTTCATACTTTGCTTGCCCCATATTCACACCACTCAGTAAACCCTTCGCTTGTGGCTGGTCACATGTGGTACTTCCAAGGGCTCAGTACTGGGGCTAAATTCTGTTTAATACCTTAATATTAATGATTTGGTACTTCCAAGGGCTCAGTACTGGGGTAAATTCTGTTTAATACCTTAATATTAATTATTTGGATGAGGGGATTTGAGTGCTCCCTCAGCCGTTTTGCAGATGACAAGAATCTGGGTGGGAGAAGCTGGGTGATCTGCTGAAGGATAGGAAATCTTTACAGGGGAATCTGGATCAATGGGCCAAGGCCAATGGGATGAGGTTCAACATGGGAAAGTGCCAGGCCACAACATTCCCAAGCAGTGCTTCAGGATTGGGGAAGGGTGGCTGAGAAGCTGCTTGGCAGAAAAAGACCTGGGGATGCTGGTCAACAGCAGTTACACATGAGCCAGCTGTGCCCAGGTGGCCAAAAAGGCCAATGGCATCCTGGCCTGTACCAGCAACAGTGTGGCCAGCAGGACCAAAGCAGTGACTGTCCCCCTGTACTCAACACTGGTGATGCCACACCTCAAATCCTGTGTTTCAGGATCAGTTTTGGACACCTCACTACACCAAGGACATTGAGGGGCTGGATCATGTCTAGAAGGGGACAATTGAGCTGGTGGAAGATCTGGAGCACAAGTCTAATAAGAATGGCTGAAGGAGCTGGAGGTGCTCAGCCTGGAAAGAATGAGACTCTGGGGAGACCTCATTGCTCTTTACAACTGCCTTGAAAGGAAGTTGTAGCCAGGCAGTGACTGGACAAGTGGAAGTGGCCTCAAGCTGCACCTGTGTAGGTTTAGACTGGATATTAGGAAAAAATAATTCACTGAAAGAGTTGTCAATCCCTGTAATAGGCTGCTCAGGGGAGGGGTGGAGTCACAATCCCTGTAGGTATCCAAAAGATGTTCAGTAGTGGTGCTTAGGGATATGGTTTAGTGGTGGACTTTGCAGTGTTGGGTTAATGGTGGTACTGGATGGTCTTACAAGGCCTTTTCCATCTTAAGGGATTCTATGACTAACTTCACTGCAAGAACTGACACACATGGAAGAACAAGGAGAGAGTACAGTCAGAAGATAAAGGTGCATTGACTCATTTTTGTTGGCAGCTTTTAACAAACAGCAATTAAGCATGAACACTGGGAAACTTTAAGATGATACAACCACACCCACATGGCAAGGTGACTCAGAATCAGAGCCTCCCTCACCTGCCAACACAGTGAACTATGTCATGCTTGTAAACTAAAGGCAAAAAAACCCCTAACCCTGCAACATGCAAAAAAGCAGCAGCCATCTGCAGAATTTCCCATGGAAGTGACTTCTTTCTACACTGGACTAATAAACAGATATCTGAGAAAGACAGTTGAAAAATAGTATATTTCACTTCCTGGCGAAAATATTAGTCTGCTTTCCTTCAGGGATACAAATGCAAGAGAGAGATATTAAGACAGCAAGAATTCATGTGCATTTAGTAAAACAATGCTGTTACACTAATGCAAAATAAAGACAACTCAGATGTGCACAGGCTCTGCCTTCTTCCAAAAAAAACTGTAATTTTACTGGTCACAGATAGCTTTTAAGTGAGACAGAAATAAAATGGAGACATAGATGAAGTGAATTAACAATCAACCTGCAAATCACATATCTGATTTCCTTACTCTTGCAAGACATGTAATTTGGATTGATGTTGCAGTTCACCAGAAATAACTTCCTGTCAGAGAACCAACTACTTGGACATCTTCAAATTTGCCTACATACCAAAATGATTCATTTTTTTCCACAAATCAAGGTGTAAATATTTACTCAGATAAAATACTCTTTGCCTAACAACAAAAATGTCTGTATATCATGTGGTAGATTTGAAACATCTTTGCTTTACATATTTCTATAAAAAGTGATATATAACACCTGCCTTCAGCTAGGCAGTTTTTGATAGACCATTTGCAGCAAGGCAAGTGCTATCAGTGCCCAAACATAAGAGCTAACAACCAAGGTCTGTACATCCTGGAAGAAGTTCTGCAGGATGACTGGAAGTGGCTCCAGTCTCACTTTTTTTGAAAGAAGGCTCTCTCTCTCTCTTCTGCATACTTTTCCCAGTACTACTTTGAAGCATGCTTTCCATAATGATTTACTAGTTTGTTTATTAAGCCATGAAAACTAATACTGGTACAGCACCTGGATTGCTCCTTAGAGGTCTCATTTCTCATAAAAGCTTGCTTGGTTCACAATATTACCCTCCTAACTCAGATGGCCAGATATTTTCAGGTGACATAACCTCTTTGTATTACACATCACCATAAAAGCCCAGATCAAAATGCACTGTGAAATACGTCACGTATGGACTCTCTAAAGCACTGAGTCTTAGTTTATAACAGAAGGACTTCAAAAATTTTCTTCTTTGGATCATTTCAAGTTTAGAAGAAAGCAAGTGGGAAATGCAGTCTTATTATAACAGTTCATTCCCTACCCTTACTTATGGTAAGTTTGCCTGAATGAGAAAAAGCAAGAGAGGCAAACTCTTATTCCTTGGCTACAAATACACAAGGGTTATTCAGTATTTACTACACGCAAGCAGAAGAAAATCTAGCTCTAACAAAACATTCTAGGTCAGACTCCACAAGAGTGAAGCATTACAGTGATGTACTAACACTACTGTCAACAAACAGACTGCCAAAATATAGGACTAGAATAAATATAGCCTGCTCGCGAGTCTGACAGGTGTAACCAATGGTTTAAACCAAATTCCTGTCATCACACTACACATTCATACAGAGCTGCATACTTACATGCCCCAATGCACTTTAATAGAACAAGTCTTCTGAGTGGTTCCAAACACCCCTGTTTCTTCAGTGTCATCAAAAAAGGAAGTCACGATTCCTAACCCTTCAGGCTCTGTATACAAATCAATTCGGCAAACCCTGTAATCCTGAAAAATGAAGATTGCCATAATCACTTGATCTGTGCTGGAGTTCTATAATTACTGTGCATCACTAAATCAGTTTTGAAACACCTGTTTATTTTAAATTGTTTCCCCCCCTTGTCAATTACCACTGCTATTAGATGCCTATAATAAAAGTATAGCTAAGCCAGTTTGCCTGTCTCTGTTTGAAGCAAGACAGTCAGTCAATCTCTAATCAGCATTTACATTGTTTACTTTCTGCCATCTAGGCAGGAATGCATCTTCTTTCATCAGTTAACATCTCCTCTAGCAAATTAAATCCTAAGATAATACAAAACAAGCCATCCTTGAAGAGAACTGCAACCTAAACAAGAATTGTAGTTACAAGCAATATATATTCCTCCTTTTTCCTATATATCCTACTCAAATAACTTTATAGCTTGTGCTTGTTTTGGTAACCTGCAATTGCAACTACTTAATGGTAGGTTAAAAGTGCATAGAAAAGATGTTCCATCATGTGTGAAACTCACTGGTAAGTTTGCCCATACCAGGCAAACCAAAATTTACACTGAAGTCTGTATTGAGTGCAAATTTGGTTTGTATTGCAAAAAAAAAAGAAAAAGCAATATTTTGAAAATACAAAATTATTGATGGTTTCCTGGGATGCCTTTTCTGACACTGACCAGACTACAAAGCACATGCTGTATGTAGCATTTTGGTGGCTGTTCTAATAAAGCCCACCAAGTTCTGTTCCTTACCCTGTCCCTCCTCTTGATATTACCACAACCCCCACTGCACAAAAGCCCCCACATGCATTTTGTGATCAAACATGGAATTCAACACAGAATATTGTTTCATGCACTTGTAGCTCATGTTACACTTGTGTCCTAATAGACCAATCACATGCTCTATCAGTACAGAACATCACTATACATTAAGATCTATGAAAAAAATTTTTGACTTGTATTACTTGCCTTAACAACATGTCTTATTGAACCGATCACTGCAGGCTTTTGAGACGTGCAGTCACTTTCCTCTTCAGAAGCACCTGCACCCCAAATATCTGTGAGTTCCAACTCTCCTTCTTCCAATGGAATAGAGGGGCCTTCAAAATTTGGTTTTTCATAGAGTATCCAGCTTAAAATAAATTTTGAAAAATCTAATTTTTCATGGTGCTTTATCATGCGTGATTTGCAAAAATCATGATCCCACTTAACAAATAATTTCATACACAGTACTGTTTCCAAACCCTTGCCATTTCCACAATACACCTTATTCACCCAACACTGCTGATTCAAGCCATTTTCAGTCTCTGTGATACCTTTAAAAACAATGATAAAACCAAAAATGTCTACTGCTGAATTGTACTTTCACAAAAAACTCCTCCACCTTTTAAAATTGATAATTTGGGGCAGCAGAGACTACTGTCTCTGAATACCAGACTTCGTATGAGATACTAATCAGAACCAATTTGTACATCACAGAAAACAATGATACTGCAGACTTCATTTTTAATGGCAGAACAGAATAAATAACTAAATAAGAACTTTATCCATCTGCAAATACAAACCCTTCACTCAGGCTCTCAATGGAAGGAGGGAAAAACCCCAGACCCAGTCCCTCTAGACCACGCTAGAAAAGACAACCTGGTTTACAGAGATCAAAAGGTTTTTGTTCCAGTTTTCTGAAGCTAAACAGCAATCAGTTTGCTTCCCAGTACCTCCTACTGTGGCTAGCCCTTGTGTCTGCACCTTACTATCAGATAATTACTTTTGAGAACCTGCTATTTGACTGCATTATAGCCTGGCCACAGCGTAACTTGCTGTGCTAGCCACACTACTAATGGCCCCTCTGTTGATGCTATGAAGAAAGCAGGAGATACTTGCTTTGAATTACTCTTGGGCAATACAGCTTTTAGAGCAAAATCCCTCCTTTTGTCAGAGAAACAGTCAATTATCTCTACAGCACCATCCTATTCCTTTGGTCATGACATAATTATGTAAGACCTAGCTTAAAACTTATATGCTAGCCTTTTAGCCCAATCCAAACACTATGCAAGAATCCCTAATGACCAGAGGAGTTGAAAGGCAAAAGAGCTGAACAGAATCTGTCATTTCATCCCACACCTATGCCTGGTGACATCTCGCACCCTGCCAGATGCTAACACTCACTCAATTAGTCAGCAAAATAGGTTTTCCAGCTCAGAACTTCCTGCTGCAGAGGTAAAATGCCCTATTTCTTGCTCACAGTTCTACATTGTTACAAGCCAGACTTACTGTGAATCACATGCCAGTCCTGCTTCAAAACATTTTTGGATAGAGTAAAAATCTTTGCATAAAGAGTAAAAATTGATCTCTTACCATCCTCTGATGACTTTAACTAAAATTGTTGGTGACAGAACCCAAGAACTGCAATCTGGAACATCATGGAAAACTTCAATGCCAGCTTTTTGACAGTCTGAGTCACAGCATATCACCAGCTGTGTTAAAAAAAATACAACAAAACAGAAAAACACACCAGTAACATATAGTTCTATCTTCCTAAGCTTTAAATATAGAAAGGAACACTAAAACTATTAAAATTGATCTTACCTTGCCAGGTCTGGGATTGATTTTACTTTGTCCATTTCTTGGAAGTGTCTAATAGACAGTGAGAAGAGAAAAAAAAATCACAAAAAACCCCCCACAAAATCAAAAGCATTTTCAATAAAGATACTCAGCTATAGAAAAAAGGCTAGTAGACCAAAATAAAAAATACACTGAATAGTAAAAGTTGGTAACCTTTTAACTATACCTACTTACCACTTCAATCTCTACTTCCCCTTGCAGAACAGCACCTTGTCACAAATGTATAAATTTATACACTTTTTTAAAACTCTGAATTGTCATCTTACTGAAGTTGACTAACCTCAGATCTGAAATGCTTTAAAATCATCCTGATCATCTTCCTACATAGCCCAGGATTTTAATACCAAGAGACTACTTTAAAAACTGCCACTGATGAAGTACATGCTGTACAATAATAAAGATGAGTTTAAATGTCTAAAAATGTCAAGCCATAAAGCATGGTGTATTTTTAAGAAATATATGAAAATACTGAGGATGCATGATGGCACATTCATGTTTGAGCTAACTAGCATAATCAATTTTGTAACAAGTTTCCTCAAAGAGCATGAGACTGAGCACTAAGTGATAAACTAAAAATATTCAAAACAGCTAAAACACATGGAGGTATACAAAATCTAAAACAATGCTGAAGTCAGCAGTAAATTGTATGATACAGAATATATGGGAAAGTTGTGGTTGCATCACGTCACCTTCAAACAAATAAAGCAAGCATTGGAATTATGTGTTTGGTTTCCTAGCAAGGATAGGAGTGTCCATTCTGGGACAGGGTCCTGCTCTTCTAGGAATGATTCACACAAACAAAAAGACAAAAACAGCTCCTGCCCCTAAATAGGTAACCAGCAACACGTGCAAGGAATTAAAGAGAACATAGTAGTTAATATGCAGAGCAGGCAGTGGTCGCAGGACACTTCTTAACCACCACCAGGTTTTTGTAGGCATCATCAAGACATGTTGAAGCACGACTGGTTTTTAGCCTGAGCTTCAGTTCCAGTTAAAACTTGTTCTGTGTTTTGAGGAATGCCAAAGTCATTGTTTTGGGCTGTCCTTACTCCTTCCTTCACATCACCCACTAGCCATTGCATCACCATTTTCTTAGTCAGTGGAAGATGCACAGCAGGAACACCTCACAGAAACCTTTCTGATTCCTAACTTGAGCAAAACATTTCAGTCAGCAGCAGTGCCGCAGAAATCCAGAAACCCTTTGAGCAAAACATTCCAGTCAGCAACAGTGCCACAGAAATCCAGACACCCTTTGAAGCCTAAAGGGTAAGGTATGAAGCCTAAAGTCTTAGGTATGTACACACTTCACTGCTATATCAGAACTCCACATTCTACTGCAAAATTGAAACCCACTCAAGAAAAACAGTTTAAGTAGCAAAAAACAAACTAAGAGAGTATTAGACATTTAACTTTAAATTCAAGTTTTTAAATCCAAGCAGGACCAACAGAATAAGAAAGCCTCTTTAATTGGTAACATAAATCTACACTACTGTAAATAACCCCCCTAATTTTCATCTCCACTCTAATTCAGAAAACTTCCCATAAGAGAAGAATCTACATTCTCAGAACTGCAAGGTACCATGGATGGTTGTCCCCTGCAAGGTGACAAAGAAAGGAGCTCCTTTTAGTAGAACTGCTATAGCAGATAATCATTAGCTTTGGAAAGTATTTCTCAAACTTCTTACATGCTGCTTCAATTCCACAGGTCCCATTCATGTGGCTATTAAATTTTAGAAAACATATTTCTTCCCATGGTTTTTAGATCCCCTGATTATCATTTTCCTCTCAGGTCACAATAAGGGCTTACATTAACAGAAATAGCAAATACTACAGGACATTGAGTCATTATTTTGAAAACAAAAATTACAAATATATTCCATAATAAAGTTGCTTTGAGGGGAAAACATAGGTCTGTCTTCAGTCAGGAAGAACAGATGCTTGTAATCAGACCAAGGGACAGCCCTACACTGTAGCAGCACTTTGAATAATCACTACTATCCAGATATTACAGTATTCTTAAAGAATATATATATTTTTCTGCTGATACGTGGGAATACAACAGAGAGCTAAAATAAAAAATTTGCTCTGTTACTTATTTAACTGTACAATGGCTGAATGTCTTGTTGGAAGAGAAGAGAGATTACTTCAACAGAAGCTTTCTGAAGTTCACAGAAAGCTTTCTACTAACAAAAAATTAAAGTTAGCATAATATTTGTTTCAATATAATACAAAATCAAGTACAAAGACATATTCAAAAAATGCTTTCCATTCATATTTGCAAAAAGTCTCATTTTCCTTTTCAGGTAAAACTGGTACCATACCAAAGTTCACCTCAATGTATTTGTAATCTATACATATCCCAAAGAGGGGAAACAAAACAATATATGCACATTGTCTATCAAAAACATAAAAGCTGGATAACTTTGCAGGCAGCTTTTTAAAAACACAATACTTACATCCACATCTAATAAACCAGGAGGGACATTCGATTCATATCTGCTTGTTCCTAACCAGCTCGAAAAACTTTTCTCAGGATTGCCATAGTTGGGCATTTGTAAACTTAGCTCTTTTTTGGCACTATCTGCTTGTAGGTACTTCTCCACAAAACTTGGAAACTTCACATCTGAAAGAGACTGAATTGCAAAATCAAAATTAACAGTCATTCAGCATGTTGGCAAACATTGTTTCATTTCCTGAATGATCTTTATTACCTCAGATTTTTGAGGCATGATGAATGGCCCAGAAACATCCTGTTGTAAAGCAGGCATCCCCGAGGAGTCACTTGCAAAAGCTGTTGTGTTATTTACTGGAGTGACAGAAGGGCTAAAAAACTTTTCTTTAGAAGACAGCAAGCTTGAGAAGAGGGAACTTTTTTCAAGCCGTGATCTCTTAATTTCACCATCTGTACAGTCAATGTTCTCTTTTCCATTTATTTCCTGAGTAAAGGCAGGTTCCTCTCTACATGACTGCAGAGCTTTGAATATGATACTTTGCTCTGTTGATGCACGCTTGGGCCTGACTCTGGCTATTGTTTCCAGGCTTTGCATTTTCATTTGTTGTGCTGGTAACAGATCCTGTGTTTTTTCCCTCCTCAGTCCCAAACCAAAAGTAAATACACTGGGATCAAATACTTTCTCTAAGTTGTCTTCATGAATGGGAGGCATTGCAAAGTGGGGTGCTGGAGACTTGGGAAGCTTTGACCTCTTCTTTTTCTGGGGTAAACAAACTGAGCTGTCTAAGTTTTTTATTGTTTCAGCAAACTTCTTCATGTCAGATGGGGAATCAAAAATGCTGTCGTCTTCAGCAGATCCATTACAGGCTTCCCCTGGGCTCTTTTGTGTATTGGTGTTGTGCTCTGATTCCAATACACTGTCTTGATTGCTGTCATCATACTCAAGTGGTGCAAAGTTCAAATCTCCTGGCTTTATCTTTTTATCTCCATTTTCCATCTTCTTAAATTCTGATCTGGAAACCTGAGATGGTAGAGGATATTTATCATCATTGCATGGTGATAAAGCCTCTGTGTTTGGCAGCACTTTTTCTTCATTTCTATGGAATTCTGAGCTTGTGTAATTTCTTTGGTAGAAAGGATCTTGAGCATTTTCAGTTTTTACAGGTGAGTGCAAAGGCAGTTTAAAAGGTGAACTTTCTTTCTTTGCTGTGGTTAATTCTGATTCTGATTGCTTCAGAGAGACACTACCAGCATCACTTTTGCTGCTTTGGTTAAAAAGGGATATGGCAGCTTTTACTTTAAGTTCTGTTGTCTTCCCAATATCCTCATAAGAGGTAAAGATTTCTCCATTTTTGCCTTTTAACTCTGCAGTGCTTTCTTTCTCCAGTGTGCCATTCTCAAATAACTTCTGGCGGCTGCTTTGCTTATTTAATGTTTTATCAGGCTGTTCATTTTCTTTAGGTTGTTTTCCAAATTTCAGCTTTGCTCTGCCAACGAATGTGCTTGGTACAGCATTATTTTTTGAAGCAGGGATGTCAGTAGGTCTCTGGCTCTGGCTAGCACATTTGTTTTCAAACAAGGAAATTTTGTTGGCAATGTTGCTGTTAGTTTTATTAACTGGTTTTTCAAGAGTGTCCTGCTCACTTTCTAAACTGTCTTGATTCGTAGGTGTTTTAAAATTCAGCTCTATGTTCTTCGGTTTGGCTGGACTAGAGGAGGCAAAGTGACACAGTGACATCTTTAATTAATCTTGAACAGGCTTGTAACAATTTTCAAAACAATAAAAAGTAGAATTATAAACCACAGACTTAATTCAAATTTTGATATCTCAAAAGGAATCAACTAAAAGAGGAGTAACTATATGGATGTAAAAAATTAGACACTAAATAAGGAGTATGTATTTCAAACATGTACTTAGTTCTTTAAGGTTGGTAAGACAAACATAGCAACTTAGAGCATCTGCAATTGAGGCAGAGAACTCAACTACTTATGACTGACAGACATTAACATTTAGTACTGAATAGGCAGAATAAATTATAAACATGCAATTCCCTACAGAGTTTAGAAAGCAAATCCCAATTCATTAAGGTGATAATGAGTTGGTTAACATTTGCATATTCTCTCCAATGAGTTTTGAAGACATCTGACCAGATTCTTTGCAGCTTTTACACCTACAGTGCAGAAGCAACCTCGAATTGAGTGAAAACTCTTTCACGAGTGCTTGCAGAAAATGTTAGCTGTCCCCAAGCATTGCACCACCACCTTGGCTAAGTGAACACCACATGTGAGGACTCTTCCACTTCCTTCATGTAAACTTAGCTAGCAATTTAAATTGTGTAAACTAAGCCTAATAATTTTACAAGAATTGAATTTGGAAGCACAAATCTTTTCTATCAGAGTGGACAGAGAGGCAGGTACAAGTACATGCACACAGTACTCCTGTGCTATGGCAGAAGGCTCAGCTGAGTGTTTCAAGCTCCTTTCTCTGAATACCAGAAAAGTTATTTGTCCATGTAACTTGCTACTGCATACTGTACAGTATGAACAGCTGTGAAGATGCAAGGCAGATGGCTTCAACATTAATCAGTCAGGTCTAAGGAGTGTCAAGGAGCCCACCATCACCTCCAAGACAGTCCTGTTCTCCAGAGAGGAATCTGGGGACACAGCAGCAGAAGGACAGGTAGAAGCTGCCCTACATGAAAACTGACCAATGTGGGGGATGAAAAGAAAATAGCTTGCAGCCATCTCCAGGGTCCCAAATGCTCTACCAATCAATGGATGATTCTGGTATTTAAGTGTTTTCTTCTTTTTTTACCTACATAAACTGTGTTCACTAAGTTTTCAGGCAGCTCCTCAGCCCAAGAAAGAGGTGTGAGATATAGGAACAATCCAGAACATGAGATCCATTCCCCTCTTCCTCAAATGATCCATCCCAAGTAAGAAATTAAACCCTTCTAATGCAAGGTTCTCCATTGTACAAGTTTTATTTCTTGGGAATACCATGAGGAACAAACTTACTGAAATAACAGGAAGATTCAAAAATAGTTACCTACGAATCTATACAAAGAGCAACTGTTAAAAATCATAGACTATCAAGAGGCTGCAATGGATCTTAAAAGATCATCTAGCCTCTACTCTCCTGCCATGGGCAGGGACACCTCCCACTAGACCAGGTTGCTCAAAGCCTTTTCCAACCTGGCTTTGAACACTGCCAGAGTTGGGGCATCCTCAACCTCCCCAGGAAAACTTCTGTAGTGTCTTACCACCCTCACAGTAAAAAGTCTCTTCCTAATATCCAACATAAATTTCCTGTCTCTCAGTTTGTCCCCAGTACTCCTGATCCTATCACTACCGTTCCTGGCAAAGAGTCCTTTTTCAGCTTCCCTGTAGACCCCCACCTTCAGATACTGGAAGGTTTTTATGAGGTCTCTGTGCAATCGTCTCTTCCCTGTGAAGCCCCAACTCTTTCAGCCTGTCTCCATAGGGAAGGTGCTCTGGTCCTCTTATCAACTTTGTGCCCTCCTCTGGATTTGCTCCAACAGTTCCATGTCCTTCTTGTCATCATGTCATTTCAGAGACCTCCCAACACTGCTCCCTCTAACTACCAGCCTACTCAAGCTAGTTCACAACTTTATGAAGAAATATGAAAAATGTATGATCAATAAAAAAGGAAAGAGCAAACTTAAAATCCACTGGCCATACTTCAGATAGGTACTAATAAAACACACTTGGAAAATTTAAGGAAAAACAGAAAACCAAAATGTTCCTGAAAGAGAGAAGGTATGAAGGGAACTATCATAGAGCATAAAATTAAATATATTGAGGCACTACTTTTCATTTGAACTACAACTGTTTTTTCCTAAACTTTTAAAAGTTAAATTATTCTATTACTTTTCTCTTTGGAAAATGACTATGAGTTGCAAGGGACCTCTGAAGATCAGCTAGCCTAACTTCCTACTCAAAACAGGGACAGCTTCAAAGTTAGATCAAGTTCCTGAAAGCTTTGCCTGACCAAGTTTTGAATAACTTCAAGGGTCAAGATCTCACAACCTTCCTCGTGAAGCACTGCAGCAGGGCGGCCACTGTCACTGTGAATTATTTTTGCCTTATATCCCATTAAAACTTCACTGCTACAACTTGCAGCTGTGGCTGTTGCCCCTTCACAGCTCAGGGACAAATCTGGCTCTGCCTTCTCTATAGGTAGTGAGAGATGACAGAGGTCTATCTGTATCCTTCTCTTCTCTCAGCTGAAGAAACCAAGCTGCTTCAGCTTCTCCTCATACATGCTTTGCTCCAGAGCTGTCACCTTCTTTAATGGCTCACTGCTGGACTCATTCCAATTTGGGAACATCTCTCTTATACCAGAAGAGAGTTGGAAAGGGAGGAAGAGCTACAACTCAACAGAGTGACCCAGATGTAGACCCATGAGCACTAAGACTTGCTGGCTATGCTCCTGCCTATGGAGCACAGCACAGCCTTCACCTGGTACAGTGATGCACTACTGAAACGTGCTGAATTTCCTGCTCACCAGGATCCTTCATATCCTTTTCTGATCAGAAGAAAAATGTACTTATCCTTTTCTTTTACCTGTATTTTCAGGAGGTAACACTAATGGCCCAATTATCTTAACAAAGTCATTCCCATACCACCCTTTTGTCAGCCTGTCACTTGCACTACTACATTTCAACATAACACATATCTTCCCCATAAAAATCTGTGTCTCTCTGTATGCCCTGACACAAGCAAGTTTAATGGCTAACAGTGATACTTATCAGCTACATCTAAAACCTCTTTTAAATGAAGAGCTCACCCCTCAGAGGTATAGTTTCAAGGTTTGCAAATTTATGCAGAAACAACCACTTCAACACTTTGTATTTTGTATTCTGCAGTACTTCTGCACAGCAGCAGCAGCCAAACAGCTGAAACCAGAGAGCATGAGAAAGCTCAGCCCTGCAGCTCCACTCACTACAGCTGGCCTCTTCTAATCTTTTCATTACACCTTTTTCCACACTACAACAATACAGGTTTTAAATACAGCCAAAAGATGCGCTTTCTTGCAAGAACTGAGTCACCAAGCTTGTTTAAAAGGAAATGCTGTTGTAGTATACTTTAAGTCTCCCATCTTGTATGGGGAAAAAAAACTTAACAGCACAAATGCTTTCTTACAAAGAGTCCAGTGTGGCTCATTCTTACTGATCTGCGACGCCAGGAACAAGCAGGCACAAGAGAAATACCAATGTCCTTCTCTGTGGTTACACCTTGCAGCTAAACTGTGGAAGCAAGCAGTTAAACCTCTCCCAACAGTCAAAAATGGAAGGTGAGTCACACATCAAGCTTGCAAGTGGTGCCAAAAAAACACTGATGCCAAAATATCAGATTGAGGTGAGCAAAGAAAAATGGCATGTGAAAAGAGAAGAATAATTCAACAAGTGGGCTTAAATGCAAAGGCAACTACAAAACCATGTCTGAACATAAAGTATGACAACTGAAGCCAAGTTTTCCGCTAAGCACATCAAAGTGACTGCTGCCTGAGGTTTTATTTGCCAATTAAGATTTACCATCAACCTCATTTTAGTCTCAAATCTGACAGGTTTCCCTTCCAAAAGCTAGAAGCAAAGTATCCTGTGACTTTCAAGTTATCCAGTACACAGACATAAATGGAGAAAAGAGAGAAAATGCTATCTTTATTTACAGGAAACCTGCATTTCTGGAGGTGATGGAGAAACTGACCTGTTTTGAAATTGATTCCAAAGAAACCTGATTCCCAGAATTGGCACAATATCATTAGTAAGAGATATCATGCACTTTTAAGGGAGAACTACTTGTATTATATAAAATCTGTCTTACAAGGGGCCAAGGAATCTCTAAGTAAATGGGTATTTTTCAACCAGAAAGGAATGAATGTGAATTATCTAAAAAAAACTTTTTGACCTTTGAAAATGAAAAATTTATCTGTTCACAGTGATAACTAGAGAATAAAAACACACCATCTTCTAGTAATGGCACCATCTTTCCCCTTCCCATTTTACAGCACCTTAATCCCAATCCAGGTTTATAGTTCATACATTCTAATGAATGACTCTAAATTATACCAGATCACCTGAGCATGTCACTCTGGCTAAAGAAATGGTGTGGTGCTGTGCTATGACAGCTATCAGATGCATCAGAAACCTTGCAGGCAACACAGCAGTCCCCACCCAGGGCTAAAGCTCCTATAGCAGCAGATAAGGCCAAGACACAGTGTCACACACCCCACAAAAAGGGATGAAATAGAACAGCTTGTTTATTTGTTAAAATTTGGTCTTTCAGACAGGACACTCGTCTGTTACTTTATGAGTACAGTAAAAGATAATTCACTGTACAGCAAGGAGATACACAGAAAAAAATGAAATCCAGCTATGCAGCTGTTTATAACTTCTTCATCACTAAGTGACACAGAGAAAAAACAATCTGAAAGCTACCTTTCCTTTGAAGCTGCGAAGATACAAACTCAGGAGTTTAAGATTTGTGATCTATACTGCCAGATGGCAAGGCATCACCCAGTACAAAAATGCCACAGTTTAACTTTCAGTACTAGGCTTTTTAAACTTAAGTTACAAATTAAGGACTCAGATGTAGAGTATTACAAATTGTGCAAAGGAAATTGCTCCTGTGCTCCTCAGATGTGGGAAGCATAATTGCAAACAGACGTGTCTCTTAAACCATCGTGTTGAACCTCCACATCCCTCTAACACAAGGACAATTATCAACACTCAGTGTACCTCGGGTGGGCCTACAGGATTCAGTGTGCCCCCACACCTACAGCTGAACATGTCAGAACGAGGAGTGCAACAGCACACAGCCCACAGCCGTGGCAACCAAACAACAGAAATGAATAATGCAAACAAATCATTCCCCGTGGATGAGAATGCAACAGTACCCAAGTAATCAATCACTGGTCTCAGACTAGTGATAACAGTGAAATTTATAAATACAGCCACTTCTTTATAACCCTAAGGAAAGCTCTGACCACTTGTTTGACAGACAGTTTCTTCAAGTGTAAAATCAAAAACTGAAAACTAATATATGCATCATTCTGCAAATACCTGATGTTATTCACATGCATCAAAATTTAAGTGATTCATCCTGCATATACTTAAGAAAGCAACCGTATGTACTCAAAACTTTGGAATGTGATCTATCATATCATTTGAACAATCAAGTTCTACATTGCATGCTACATTTCTTCATAAAATAATAGCAGAACTTAGGCTGTTTCATAGAAAACTTGAATACATTTCTAACTCAAACGATTTTCACATACAAAATCTTCAACCACATTCTGATTTGGTTACAGAGAGAATAATTAATCAAGGTCAATGATAGATGAATTAATCTGATCCACAACAATGATGACTGAGCAGTTTTTATATATGTTAAATTATTCCATATAGTGGATGTGACAAAGACATTCCCTATCAATTTAAAAAAAATTAAAAATTAATTATTTTTCTAATACATGTAGACTACAGTGCTTGTTAAGTGGTAGCTTTAATTATGGTAACTTATTTTTTAAGGGCAGCTCTTAACTGAAAACAATTTAAACAGATAACAGATACAGAGCTAGTGTTTCCATAGAATTCTAAACACAGATACAAGCAAAATTACAGCTACAAGGACAAGGTAACCTAGCTTGTTACTTACAGGCTAATCTTTGTCATGACTGTTCTGGAAGAATCCAAACTCTTCAGCTTCGAGGTGTCTAAATCAGAATTTGTCTGTCTCTCAGCTGACAGACACAGGTCTCCATTTTTAATCCCATCAGTATGCAAGAAAGCTCTTCCATCTGGACCATTACCATTCTTTATTGCCTTGGTATCACTTCTGCCTTCAGCAAACACCAAGTCTTCTGTCTTAGCAGCCAAAGAAGCTTTGGGAGACTCCAAACTGTCTTCCCCAAAAGCCACAGGTATAGCTCCCTTTTCCACTGAAGTTCTTTTTGTCACTGGGTTAGTCTCTGGAGATGCTAAAGGTTGCCTTTTTGAAGAGTAATCTTTCACCTGACCCTTCAAACCAGTAGGGGAGATGGGTACAGTATCCGACTGATTCTTTTTATATGATCTTCTCCTTGCAGAGCTTGTGTTTGAGATCTGCTGCTTGCCCTTGTCAGCTTCAGCTTTAGATGCCCCTTTGTGAGCAGATCCAACTTTTAGGTCCTGATTGCTACCTGAGAAAGAGGAATTTCTTTCAGGAGTCTGCTGAAGAGACCTCACTTTTCGTTCAGGGTTTATTATCTTGTCTGAAAACACCTCAGACTGGGCATCATCCTCAAAACCAGATTCTTCCCTCGCAGTATTCTCAGTCTGGTTTCTCTCTCCATTTGGAATGTCACTAGATGATTGAGACTTTCTCCGTTTTCCAGATCTTTTACTAGCAGATTTTTTATCCATTGTGTCCAAATCACTGCAATTTTCTTCCAATTTAAGAGTCACAGGTTCATTAAGGAGTTCCTCTGTTTTTCTTAGATAGATATCAACAGTTAACACTCTAGCAGAATATGCGTGCTCACTCGCTGCAGATTCCAACTCGTATGGCAAATCCTTTGGTTTTGCATGCCCGGGCTCCTCAGACACCCACGTGTTCACGAGCTGCTTGTGACTTAAGATACTCTTTTCTAAGTCTTCACTAGACAGATTTCTCAAGCTCTGTATGAAATCTGGAGTTGTGGAATTATTTATATCTGTGACGGATTCTTTCTCCAGCCCCAGCGTTTCCACATTCAGGCTGCTCTCACAGAAAGAGTTTTTAATGGTTTCGCTGCTGCCGCTCCAATCTGCTGACCACTCGCTGTCAGAAGAGACTCCCCTACTGCTCCATTCTGAAATCGTATCGTGATACAGCGGTCTTACCTCCCCACTGAAATTATATTCCTGTGCCTCAGGAAGGGCACTTACGTTTCTCACTTGGTTCTCTGCTTGAGGAGCTTCGTGTCCTTCTCGGAAGTGCCTACAGTACACTGCCTGCGCCCCGTGAGGAGAGCCTGACCTCTCACCCTTGTGACGTGAAGTGTGTTCTAGTGAACTTTTGACATTTTTCCTCTTCCCTGTACCAAACAAATTTCCAAGTCTTTCCAAAACAGGTTTCTTTTTATTTTCTTCTCTGGAAGAATCTGGAAGGTGTGAGGTGGACTACAAAAACAAACAAACATTTGGTTAATGTCAAAATTGTTTCTATAATATATTTATTTTGTTCTAAGACTACCTCTAAATTAAAAGGACACAGTGAATGGAAACAAAACAGTTTACTGAACAATACTAGCTCTCAAAAAAAGAACAACAAAAGTCTTGAAAAACAATTAGGACTCCACGATGCTTCTGTATGTTTTTTCCTGCATTTGTTTGCAAGTGTGCTCATCTTGCTTTATAATGGCAGCTTTATATATCCCAAATCTCAAAATTTTGCACAATTAGTTAACGTCACCCAAAATGTTACAGAAAAGCATCCTGGTGCCTGCAAGACTGGGGTCAAACTTCACAGTCAAAATTTTCCTTACAAAAACAAGAGTGGGGAATTTAACTTTCTCTCCATCCTGGCTGAGTTAGTTTTCACTTCACACTTGTGCCGGTAGAGAATAGTTTCAAAAGTGTAAGTTGTCTTACAATTCATACATTTCTCATTAATTGAGTTCAATAAATATTTGGGTTGTGTTATGGGCTAAAAATCTCAGAACTATAAAAGCCACTGCATCACTCAGTGAGCATTACTGGGTCAAACACTGCCCTGGATTACTCTTGGCGAAGTTCTGCCTTACAACTTCTAATTAACATGGTAAACAGGAAACACGCAACAGCATCGCCGAGAACACATGCATATTTGCATTTTAATACATTAGCCCTTTTTACATGCCGGTACGATGAATACTTGTTTTGAGACGTCTATTTCAAAACACCGCGAGTACTTTCTACCCCGGCGCACCAGACCTCTCGAGGAGAGCGGGTTCCCTCGGCAGCACGGACCCTGCTTCGGCAGTTTCCAACTTGTTTCTGCTGCAGACACCCAGCTCTCCTGCCACTGTCAGTGCCCGGCATGTCCCAGCGCCCAGGGCGGGCCGGAGTTGAAGCCCCCGCGCCCTCCGCGCAGCCCCAGGTACGGCTGCAGAGAACCAGCCCAGCACCACCTCGCCGCAGGAGTCACAGCCCCCGTTCCGCGCGTTACCAGGAGGGTGAAGCCGCCCGAGGCTGCCACTGTCCTCCCCCATTCCAAAACGGGATAAGCAGAAGGAAGGTGCCGTGGCGGGCTTTACCCGCCTCCGGCCGCACCGCATCCTCGCCTCTCCTCACCTCCCCAGCCCGCCGAGCGCCCGACACTCACCGCCCGGCTCGGCTCGGCTCGGCGGCCCCTGCGCGAAGCCGCCCCACACACGCCGCCGCTACCCGTAGCGCGGCTGCCCCGGCGCCGGCCGTCTGTGCGCTCCGCCCCGGCCCGCCCCCGCAGCCCGCCCCGAGCCACCGCCCCGCCGCGGGCAGCGGCTCTACCTGGCCGGGCCGCCCCTCCCGGCCGCGGAGGGAGGGGCGGCGGCAGCGCCGGACCGGCCCCCAGCGAGGGCCGCGGGGCAGCGGGAAGCGCGGGCGCCCCCGGCCACGGGTGAGGCCGTCGAGGGGGCGGCGGGGCGCGAGTGGGCGCCGTGCCCCGTAGGTGCCCCAGCAGCCCGCGCTGCGGCTGCCGCCGCCTTGTTATTGAGGGCAAAACGCCGCCCCGGGCAAAACCGACGCCCTTTGATGTTGAGGGAAAAGCACCGAGGGTTGGAGAAGGGCGGTTCGCGCCGCCGCCGCCCCGGCGAGCTGCAGTGCGGGCTGCCCGGCGTGAGCCGGCGCCCGGGCCGGGAGAGGGGCGGCGCAGGGCACGGGCACCGGCTCGTCCCCGCCCGGCACGATGGCTGCGGGGCAGCGGAGGGTGTAGAGCGGCCGTGACCCGGCCGCCCCCCCATGCCGGCCGCTCGGAGGTGCCGGGAGCAGGGGTGGCTTTCCCCCAGCCCCGGGAAGTGTGCGGGGGCCGGCCCCGCCCGGCCGCCAGGGCCCTTGTGGGACATGGGGGTTCAAAGCCCTGCGGGGAGCTGAACCCGCACCTTCCACCTCGCACCGGCGGGCGTGGCTGGTTGCCGTCTGTGCCGCCCGACTATGCCTGCCCTGCCTGGCCGCCCCGGGCACGCCGCCCCCGGCTGGGGACACGGCTGCCGGCGGCAAGGGCTGCCCCGCCTGCCCCCGGCCCCGTTCGGGCCGGCGTGAGAATGACTCCGCGGCCGAATGGTGCCGGCGCTCTCCCCGGGCGCTCAATTAGTATTTAATGTTTAATGAATGCTCAACAAGTCCTCTTCTAATTAACGCTTAATGACTTATATGAAGTGGAACAGCTTCAACAGGAAGGACCACGCAAGTCTCACTTCGGAGCGTCTGAGGGCCCAGCGCGGAGGCGGGGGAGACACCAGGTCAGCCCGCCTGCAGCTGGCCGGGGTGCCCGGCCTGCGGTGTGTCTGCCCCCTTGGCTATTGAAGAAAATTAGGACCTTTTTTATGGAGTCACTTCCTCCTCCAGCTGGAAAAGTGTTAAGTTAGTTATTTTTTCTTAATCAACAGCCTACGCAGTTTTGTCTCGGGAGAGCCACGTAGAACCTATTTAACATCAGTGAACGTGCAGCAGCAAGGCTTGCCCAATCAAATGAAAAATAACAAAAACCATGAAAAACATAGAGCCTAAATTGGGGAAAAGGTAGAGTTGACTTATATTGCAACCTAACAGAAATCCATGGAACCCTTGTCTTTGCCTACCTCTGTTGACCAATGTCACTCATTGAACTGATAAGCAGCTGTAGCACCGACCAAGACCTGTGTCCTCACACAGTGATCTTCCACCGCTGGCCTTCAAATAGGCAAGTCTATGGTCATTACCTTAAGCTCAAGTTTTTGTGTTGTTTGGGGTTTAGGTTTTATTAGACAGTGAAATAATCTGCAAATGAGAGAGTTAATGCCTGTCTTTTTCCACTCCCTTTGAGGACTTCTTTCAACCAGTAGAACCAAAACAATTAAGTAAAGAGCAATATTAAGGGCTGCATTAAGTTCATACAGCTCAGATGGGTAAAGTGCTTTAGTGATAACAAAACCAACTATGTATTTCCCTATCAGATCATGAGTAATGCAGCCCAATTACTAATTTCTTATTCTATCTATGTATTGCCAGTACTAACTAATTACAGGGAAAGAATAAGATGACAATAATGAACATTGCCAGCTAAAATAAGCAAAAATACAAAAATTTCACACTTAATGCAAGGTAATAAGGAAAGATACTAATTTCTCCCATAATTCATAATAACTACAAGTATGAGGAGGATGACTATATTGTTCATGCTAAAAACTGTTGGAACACCAAAACAGGGGAAATTTAACTTTATTATGGTGTAAACCATCATATTAACAAGTGGATGGAAATAGCTGTCAGTCTTCTAAAGTAGTTGGGACTACATTATCAACCTGACCATCATTATTACACTTACTGTCAAGTTTTTAGTTTGCAAGATTACACCTAGAAAAATTAGTTATTTGAACTGGGGATCTGGATTTCTCTCTTCCCAGCCACTGATTTTCATAAAGTCCATGGGAACTTAATTATCATTGAGACGTCTCCCCCTTTCAAATGTAGTTTAAACTACAACCATAAGTTCAAAAGGTGTTGAATGGAAGTGAGGAGGGACAGCCAGCCGGTCCAGTCACATAAGCCTTGTTTCCTCAGGGAACAAGGCTAAAGATTTTTCCTTGATCTTGAAATAGCTGCCCTATGTAAACTGTTTTGAAGTAATTTCTTCATACAAAGTACCTTAATTATATACAGCTCTTTCAAAACACATAAAAGACCGGGTACTTGCCCTGAAGAGCTTGTATTTTAAGTCAGATAAATGTAGGTGAGCCAGTATTGTCAGTGCAAGAGGGCACAGAGACCGAGCATCCCAAGGGACTCTCGAGTGGGACCCAGCCTGCCAGAGCACAGCACAAGAATGCTTGACTTGAGAGCACTGCATGGAAGTGTTTGATTTCAGAAGGCAAGAAATACCCTTGCTCTGCAGATCAGGCTTCTTCAATGTGCTTATGCTCAAGCATGCCTATTCTTAAAACATTAACTGCTTGAGAAATACCTGATCAAAGGCATTGGCAACTGAAAAATCTAGAGGACCTGCCTATCCATTCCTTGGACAGTGTGGAGGAAGCCATTTCAAGCACTCTGCATGAACCTTGAAAGCCGTGTTTAATCTGAAAGCAAAATGCTGCTGCCTTCTTAACCAAGAAATGTAAATTTTGTTTGTATTTATATTCATACCTGTTTATGCTCGCATTAAAATATTTCCTCTGTTTTCGGCTGGGTTTTTTTTCTCATTAGCTAATGTAAGTTGCCACAGCCAAACCCCTAATTTAACAGTGCAATTAAACATGTGCTTTGCTGGTCTCCAGTGAAAAGAGAGCATAAGCTACTATGATCTGTTGAATCAAAACTTCAGGATGTGTCTTGAGGGATCAGTTGGATGTTATTTTCTTAGATGAGTTCATCTGAGTCAGCTGAACATAAATGAACACACTTCTTAGAGCACACATTAGAGAAAAAAGGAGTATTTTTACTAGTCATTAGCAACTTTGTGGTAACTAATAGATGGTAATATCTACTGTGGACAGTTCTTTAATTTAAACACTTATTTTCCAGCATATGTTCATCTTCAGAGGGGAAAAAACCAACAAACCATGTAGTGAAGAATAAATTTAAGCTTTATCATTCATTAGAAGGTCATAAATGACTGGATTTCAGGTAACATGAAAACTTCTGAGACCCTTCTATCCTCAACAATTCTAATAATGTAGGATCCCTGGAAATTCATGCTGGAAAGCCAGTAATGTCAAGTATCTTTAAATCACACTATCACAATTCACCCAGCCATGAGAAACAGAAAGCCTGGAAGTTCTAGCAGTCACATGACATCCCAAAAAGTGCTTTAGCCAAAAACATTTAAATAAATAAACTATTACTCTTCAGGCTTTAGCATTCTGCAGAGACTGAGACTGAAATATATCACAGTAACAGTGCTGGGCTTTGTGAGGCTGAAAATTGCTCTGGAGTATTGCTGGCTCAACGTGCTGTGAAAATATTAGTAGAAAAACTGGAAGGAACAATGTATAAATCAAAGCTAAGAGAGAGAAAAGTCTGAGAAGCACAAGACCCACTCGAGTCCTACAGGGAAGAGTTTTCATACTGCTTTCCTACAGGTGAGTGCCACAGCTACTGGCAGAGAGAGAAGGAGTGAGTTGCAGATGGAAATAAAGGCTTGGTGCTTATTTTCTTCTTTTAAAAGCATGGGGGAAAAATGTACTTAACAAAACATTTGACCTGAGTCAATTCTTGTTGTGATTTACTGGAGGGAAAAAGGCAGTTATATTTTAAGTTAATCTAAATGATCTCTAAACTTAACCAGTTTAACTGACCTTGGTGTCAATCAAATGGATTTGAATTACTACAATTCACCATACTCATTGTTCATTGTTTATGCTGACCCTTCTCAAAGACACAAATAAGGTGTTACTATTAGGAAAATATGGCTTATGTTATTTTAACTCCCAAACTTCTTTCTGAATATGAAGAGTTTGGCATATACTCTCTAAACCTTTGCTTTTTTAGCATTTGTTTTAACTATACCATGTTCCAGGTTGACAGTGTCCTCTTCAGAGTTAGAGAAAAAAAACACACTTTAAATTTAATAGGTCCTCTCTAGCATGGAATTCACTCCCTGTCTTTTCCAGCTCTTTGCCTGCTGTGCAGATAGAAGATATAAATAGCAATAACTGGATTTTAAACAATTTCAGTTTTACCTGAGCAATTTGTGCAGGGAATACATTTATTTAGATTCAGGAACTTACCTGAGTAAGCAAGGGGCTATAAATGCGAGACTTGAGCAGAGTGAAGTGAACCACATGTAAGTTTTCTTAATAGTCATATTTTGACACATACTGTATTTTCTAGTAAGTCAGGGTATTTTAGTGAAACATTTAATATCTTCAAGAGAACAGGACCTGCTTGCTTCCAATTTATTTTTTCACTGTAAAAGTAGATTTTTAGTTCAAATGTACATCGAAAATTGACTATTTTCCAACAGCATATAGATTAACGAGATTTATGAGCCTGCATGTTTAAGGGATTTTTTGTAAAGGAAATAATCAGCTCAAGAAGCATAGATGCATATATAAAAATTATCTTATACCATAATATTTCTTAGGTGTCAAACACCAAGATTTAGATATTGGATGTATTAGAAAAGAACAGCAAAACTGAAAGGAGCAAATCACATAAAATAAATGAATGGAAATCTTTCAAAAAAGCTCAGGAAAGACAAAGAAGCATTGATAAAATGAAACAGATCCTTACATGAGTATTTAGGAGAGAAGGGAGATAAATAAGAACAGGCATGTCAGAAAAGGCATGTCTGCTCCCATCTCCTCTTCCCCAGAGCTAGTTATTTCCATAAACTAAAATCTTTCCCCCCTCCCCTTCTGTCAAGAGGAGCATCTGTTGGTTAAAGAAACGCCCTATAAAACTAATGGAGATCAGTAGATTTTATGATTTTAAAAAAAGTAATTGTGTACCAACATGAAGATTTCTGATGGGGTTTAAAAAGGGAATAAAAGAGAGTGTTGTTTGCCTTACCATGATGATGATAATTCTTTCTGCTGTTTACAGAAGAATAAACAAACTATCGTGTGTGAGATGCAGTCCTGTGTGTCAGTAACCAAACCCTTTTTCTTAGCAATCCTCCCACGCTTTAACCCCTTCTTTCTTCTGGCAGCACTCAGGTAAAAAACAAGCAAAAAAAAAAAAAAAGGAAGTAGTATCTGACTTGAGCCTTTCCAACTGATAAGTCATTTGGCAGACAAATTAGAACTATGAAAGGGGCTCAATTAGAGGATA